CTCGCGATACCAACTTCTCGTCACCAACTTACACCACTGGGCCATTTCATCACTCTTCAATAGCATTCAATCTTACAAAATGTTATACGTTTTTGTTTTCCCTAATAACACGTGAGGGGCCCGCAAACTTGCTGACATGGACACGCTAAGGTTATTATATAGATTTGGGTCAAAACATAAAAGTTTATGAATCAAAAGGTTAAAAATGTCACCAATTATTTCTCTCTTTGATAGATATGCAATTTCCTAATAAAAATTTGGACCGACAAATATTTATAATTTAAACTTCTCGCGACCAAAACTAAATGGACTCGATATAAATATATATTTACATCGTAAATAAAACTCTTCTTAGTCATTTTTTTATTGGAGACTATTTTGTGACAAAAACTATTTTAGGACTATCATAGAATATTTATCAAAATAGAAATATCAATAATGACAATTATAGAAATTAAATTATTATGGCTATCAAAGTAATCAACCAACGTGAGAATTATCGTGATCGTGACACATAAACAACTCGCTTGTGATATAATACTATAAATATTTTTTTCAAAAAAAAAGAAAAAAAAACTAAGAAAATGATACAAAAAGACCTTTTATAATTAAAGAAAGAAAAAATGATGAATCAAACTACTAAAACTCTTTGTTAAAAACTATCTTTTAAAAAATTTGTTGAATAATAAATTAATTTTGAATGAAAAAGAACCAAAGAACGATAAAAACAAAAAAAAAGTTAGAAGAAGGCAACGTTAGAAAAAAAAGGAAATATGATAGGTGACCAATAAAGAAAATCTCTATAATATTATTTGAGAAGTCAGTTTCATACGTGTCGCGCTCACGTTAACTCTCGTGATGGTTGATTACATAGATACCCTTAATGAATTATTTTATTTTAAGATTATTATTAATTTTTTATTTAGTTTCCTTTTTACCTTTTTCCAAATAACATATATAATATTTCTAAAATTTTAAAACAAATTTTAAAACGAAAATATATGTATGTAATATGACTTTATTAAAAAGGAAAGTTCACAAATAGTAATACCCCCATTAATATATATTTTTAAATAACATAAAATATATTTTAAAAATAATAAAAATATATATGTGCATGAACATTCAAAAGTTTACCAATTGCACTTTATTTTCTAATATTCTTTAGAAATCAACATATGATTTGATAAATATCATGAAAAGACATGTATATTTAAGCGATAAATAAAATAATTTGATTTGACTTAACTAAAATAAAGAGTAAATAAATATTATGAAAATAGATGTATATTTAAGCGATAAATAAAACTAATTTGATTTGACTTAACTAAACTAAAATAAAAAGTAATTATACTTCAATTTTAATTTAAAAATATATTTAACTCCAAATTTGAATGACTTCAATATACTCCAAAAAGTAATTATACTTCAATATACTCCCAAATTTGAATGACTCGACTAATCTAATTTATATCCAAAATTAAACATCTAACTACAATAAGAACATATAATGTTATAATAATAATAATAATAATAATAATCTATTTAATTTTATACACATAAATTAGAGATTGACTCAAAGAATATTAAAAAAAGAAAATATTAACCAATTACAATTTAATTCTTTTGTAGAATTTATATATATGCATGAGACTTCAAAATATTATCATTATATTCATTTATGTAATTTTGAATCAAACACTTCAGTTTATTATTTATTTAATTTTAAGCACAATATATATTAAGTTATACATGATTTAACTATAATATATTTACATATCTAAGACAATAACCAACCGAAATAAAAATAAGAAAATTAATCAAAGTTTTATTATATTTAGAATAAAATATATTATAGCTGAATTTGAAAAATAGATATTCTCCAATATACAAAATTGATAATCAAACCGACTATTGATCCAGAATATAATTAAACCGACAATAATATATCCAAAGTCATAAAATTTATTCAAAACTAAAACTAAATATCAATCAATTATTATAAAATTTTACTTCTATGAATATTTATATCCGTGCATGAGCACGGGAAAATCACCTAGTTAAAAATAAATGAAAAACATTCAAAACAGCTAGTGTGCTGAAGGAGGTTTTAAATGTGGATGAGTGGGTGCATAGTTAGGAGCAGAAGCAACCATGCTGGTGAAATTATAATCATCAACTAGCACGGTGGCTAGCCTTCTTCCTGTTGAATCGCTCTTTTGAGCAAGTCATTTGCTTGTTTTGGTCATATTAAAGAATTGTTGTTCTAATTGCTGAGTAAACTAAAAATAGAATCAGCATTCTCCCTTACATATAGGAATCAACTCCCACCTTCCATATTCTCATATGTTTTTTTTTTCTCAACTAACTCATTGATATAAAGAACAAATAACATTTTCTGCCAAAACAATTGATATAATAAACTTATTTTCCCCTGATCATAATTTTACCAACTACTAATTAATCAGACATGAAGATCATCATTACATTGATGTCCATCGCCTTCTTCATACTCTTGCTATCGTTTCTTGCTCCGATCAAAGCTCAAGGTATCTCGTGCAAAAAGACTGTTGTCCCAGACTGAAAAGGAAAGGCCCTCAACCATGTATGTGTTTGTTATTTAAGTACCCTTCGCTTAAAGCACCTGCTATGAGGCTTATCGAATATTGTCGAGCTCCAGTTCCCAAGTGCTAAAAGATTAAGGAAGGGAATATACAATAAATTAACAACAATGTTTCGACCGAGCTCGTGGACTAGTTGTGTTGTACTTACTACTTACTGTCGTTGCCATGTTATAATCTGTATTTAAACATGTTTTTAATATATTCAAGTAAAGGTTTCTTTTGTTAAATTATATCGGAGAAAATCGCATAAAAAACCTTCAAATTGACACTTACTAGCACTTTAAACCCTGAAGTTTTTTCCCTAGACTTTAAACCTTCAAAGTGACATTTGTGTCGCCGAAAACCTTGAACTTGAAAATCTGACCTGCTGAACAGGTAAAACAAGTCATTCACCAATTTTCTTTTCGAAAAATAAATATTTAATAATAAAATTTAATACAAAAAAAAAATTAAATTTTCCAAAAAAACAAATAAATTTCAGAACATAAAGAAAAACTTATTAAAAAATAATTTCAAATATCAAAAATTAAATAAAATTAGAAAAATAAACAAAGTTCACAAAATTCAAGAAAAAAATAAATCAAAAATAAAAAAACTAAATTAAATTTTTAAAAAAATTAAAGAGAATTTCAGAACATAAAGAAACATTTAAAAAGTTGAAAAATGTTTGAAACCATCATCGTCAATTGTGATATACTGAAAGTTTTATTCTCAACTATAACATTTCAGATTTTTGAAAAACAAATCTTTTAATTTTATGAAATTTTCCAATAAAATTGACATATCATCGTTGACAAAAAAAATTCAAACATATCATTGTTGAAGTTGATGGTTTCAAATAATTAAAAACATAATCTTGTAATTTTCAAAAAACTATTTTGAACTTTTGAGTTTTCAATTTTGTGAATCTTCTTTAACTTTTGTTTAATTCTCTGAATTTTTTTTTTGTATTTCAAGTTATTTATTTTTTAAATTTTTCTTTATGTTCTGAATTTTTTTGTAACATTTTTTTTTGAAAATTAAATTTTATTTATTTGATTATTTTATTATATTTATATTTTATTAAATATTTATTTCTCTGAAAAAAATAAAAAATAAAAAAGGTAATTTATCAGGTTTTTTCCTAGCAATAAATATTTAATAAATAATCAAAAAATAAATAAAAATCAAATGAATTTTCAAAAAAGTTTAATTTTTTGAATTTTCTTTATTTTTTTGTTTAATTTTCAGAAATTTATTTAATTTTTGGTATTTGAAATTATTTTTTTATAAATTTTTCTTTATGTTCTGGAATTTTCTTTAATTTTTCAAAAATTTAATTGATTTTCATTCATTTTTTTAATTATTTAGTAAATTTTTATTTATTAGATATTTATTTTTTGAAAAATACTTGATAAATGACTTATTTTACCTGTTCAACAGGTCACATTTTCAAATTGAAGGTTTTTTGTGACAAAAATGTCACTTTGAAGGATTAAAGTGCTAGTGAAAAACTTTAAGGTTTAAAATGCTAGTAAATATCACTTTAAAGGTTTTTTATGTCATGACATCCCTAGTTGCAGGTTTTCCCGTCTACAAAACGATATGTTTATCTTATTTTTTTTTGGCATGTGAGAGCATGATTAATAGAGGAATTTTGTGGGGTTTTTAACGGAATTTAGAAACTATTTCTTAATTTTTAACTAAAAAAAATTAAGAACCGATTTTTAAATAAAATATTTAAGAATTGATTATAATTTTTTTAGTTAGGAGTTAAGAGAATGTTTACTTCTGCTAAGAACCTTTCCATTAATCATACTCGGACTCTTATTTGCCAAATATGTGAGGACTCCACCATCATCAGCCTTTGGTTTGTAAATGTTTTTGTATTATTATTTGCCAGTAGTCGAAACTTCACAATTTGGCATATTTCTAGATTAGTTTTAATAAAAGATTTTGGGTGTGAATGGTGACCAAGGGAATGAAGAGGAACACTACATTACTTAATATTCCTTAAAAAATTTACCATTCATGAGAAATCGATTTTTTTCCCATTCCTCCTCATTCCTTTGGTTGTAGAGAATTATAGAATAAATTCATTCCTTATTGATTTTGATAAGGAATCATTATTCCTCTTCCTTTCTAAAATTTTATTCCTACTCATTATTTTCATGTCCATTCCTGCTATTCCTATTATGGTTACCAGTCATACCCTTTGATAATTTGGGATCCATGTAATGTATAACCTATGTATTAGTTTATTAAAATATTTGGAGACCAGTAAGAATTAATGTTTCATCCGGCTAAATCGACATTATTCATAATCGATCTATAACTTTTTATGACACACAAGCATATATATAACTTCGTTACATGATCCAAATACCAACTAAACGATTAATGTAAGAGATAACGAAACTCGTATTCGTGAGGCCTCACTTCTATTAATTTGTTCAAAGACGACACACTTTGCTTATTCAACCACTCCATCGCCGTTTCCTTGAGCTGCAAGTTACGTTGTCCTGGTGGTAGTTGGCTGCATATCCACTCAACTAATGTCCCTTCATCCTCTGCAAAATCTCGAAGACGCTTGTGCAAGAATCTCGGAATCACAATCTTTTTCCTCCCGGTGATACCTATGGAAGCTTCTAAATACTCAGTTCTCGCTTTGATTAGTTCCTTCACCACATCTTCTGCTGTATAAACTCTTAACTATATCATCATGTATACACAGATTCTTTGTTACTTAGTAATTTTTAAAGCAACACTTATCAAACCGTACGTGCGGATGAAGAAAAATAGTGAACTTACTGCAGGTGAAGACCAATCTCCACGACAAAGCACGAACATTAGGTTTGGTTCTACACACCTGAATCCGTACCGTCTGTGTACATCAGTACTTACAGTTTCCATGGGTTCGCATGGACTATGCAAGATGGTTCCTTCAATATCTAGGGCAGAGAGTTGCGTTCCTCCCACGTCAACGGTTGCCTACAACACAAGTCAATGTTATTATTAACTATTAGAAGTTTAACAAGATGACTCTTCTTGTTATATTATTAAGTACCGTTTTGAGAATGGTTAGTAGTTTCTCCTTTGATGAAGGTAGTCCATGTTCCAAAAATGCCTGCAAACATACTAAGGTTTTCAAGACACTTGACTTTGTTTCAACTATATGTGAGTTTTAGAAGCTAAGTTACATTCATGACGCATGCGTTGTAGGTATTGATCCAGAACGCCATCTTTTTCTTGTGATTCAAGAAACTTAAATCAACTTTGCTCAGCTTCTCCTTCATAACCCTACACATATGTGTTTTTTTTTTTATTATACATAGATAATGATATCAACAGATTAATAAGAAGCAACTTGAAATCAGGGCCGGTCTTGGCCTATAACTCATAAATTTTTTGAAGAAAATTATATAGACATAAAACTCTAAATTTGTGAAAAAAATGTTATAATAAAATCTTTACTAAATCATATCTAGCCCCCAAAATCTCAGGACCGGGACTGTCGGAAATGTAAGTACCTTAAGTTGACAAGAGAAGTTGAGCAATCAGATAGACGGCTAACATCAATGCAGTTTCGAGTAATGTGGATGAAGTTCTTGTACTCTCCAATATCTCTGAGAGAAGTCCCCATCACAACTCCATAAGGATCAAGATTTGATGCGTTCTGACCAAACACCGATTTGCGTTTGAAAGAAGCGTTCTTCAAGTGTGAGAGGCTCAGCTTTGAAACCGTTCTTGACCCTTCTCGCTCACGGGATAACTTTTTGAGTTCCAAATAGATTCCCATCAAGCACTTCAACAGATCTTCTGATACTCCATTTGGTGTGGTCTCTTGCACTTTATTGTTATCTTGCATTATTCTTGATGATGTTCTATCAGAAAAAGTCGAAGAACGTGCTCTTGGTGAGAAGGGATTGCTCATTTGAAGAATATCCTTGAAACCATGAGGATCTTCACAACCCTGTAACCTGGATCTTTGTTTTAGATCCTTAGGTCTCATCTTTGTGATGTTATTGTCAGGTTCCCAAGGAAGATGATTCTGTCTTTGTAGTAGTTTCTTAGGAGTCATCATCATCATCCTCTCCTCTTGTCTTTCATCAAATTTGGCTTCAAGTTCTTGATTATGCCTCCTCTCAGTATACACATCATGTTTCAGGTCTTGGATTTGTTTCTCGAGGCAGAGTATCTCTGCCTCAACAATAGCAAGCTCCTCTATTATATCTTGAACCTATATGCACAAAAGTACAACCTCAAAATCATGTTATCATCTCTTGATTCAAAACGCAAGAGTTTTTCATCTATAAATAGAGTTACCTGAGGAGGAAGAAGCAGTAAAGAGAGACGAGGCTGAGACATGACAGGACCACGAAGTATACCACGTAAAGCCTTGTTGAGTGCTTGCTCCTCCTCTAGCTCTCCTTGCATTTTCATAACATCTCTTTGAAGACGAAGTTTTTGTTTCTTCCTTAGCAAGTCACTCTTCTCTTCTTGATGGCTCTTATCATCCTTCAGTTCTATAGATGAGTTTTGACTTACTTGGTGTTGCAATTGATGGCGGTTTAGACGGCGATGGTGATCAAGAAGTTCCGCTACACTTAGTTGACCTTTTGTTTCTTGCTCCACTAGTAAGTTTTCAAGATTCATGTTGTGTTTCTATGGGTGTCTAGGGAAAAAGTTAGTAACTAACCATGTATTTAGTGAAGCTATATAAATGAGATTAATGTGGTAATATATGAGACCATAAGTAACAAGACGTGCCAGCAATTAGGTCATATGAATATGATGTTTCACGCATTGGCTTGGAGTTGTTATTAAGGGTTAGGATAAAAGTTGTTATGATCGTGAAAGCCATTAACACAAAAAAGAGGTTTGATTCAGGTTAGAGAAACGCAATTTTATTTTAAAATGAAACGAAAGCACAACATGGCTTTACTATATTTCGTTTGACGCGATATAAAAGTTCTGATTGGTGAAATAAATGAGTTATATATTTTCTTTAATTTGAGGCATGACTCAAAAATAATGCCTCTTTGTAAAATTGATAATTTAAAATTTAAATCAATAGTTGAAAATCTCATGTATTAGAGTCAGAATTAGAATTCTACTTTTCATTGACATGAAAATGATGATGCTAACAATCTTTGAGATGTCCTATATACATGTATGATATATTTTGATATTCATAATATTATGTTTAAAAGCATATATTTGGTAAAAAAAAAGTAGGGCAATTCTATCAAAGAGATTTTTTAAGTTTTATCACAAAAAAGAGATCTCAAAAATTAAAATGACCAAAATATTATTTTTTATTTTAAAAATTTTAAATTTTTTTTTTTTTAAAAAAATTTTAAATCATATCCCCAAATTCTCATTCCTCAACTCTAAACAAAAAAAGTCTATAGTTAAACCAAAGAATATAAATATATATTTACTTATTTTTGATAAAATATTTAAAAGTATATTTTTGTCATTTGTATTTCTAAAGTCTATATTCATGACAAATTTTTTTTTTAGATTTATCCTAAGAAATTTCTCAAAAAGGTATTGGCCTAAAAGAAAGATTACAAATCCTTTTTTTTCAAAAAGGTGAAAGTATATTGAGAAAATAGTTTTTTTTAGGCCAAATAGGTTTGGACATTGTCCATTTAGACTAACCTCTAGTACTATATGTCCCATTAGGCTAAATATTTTCATATAGCAATAATGCCCTTAAATTCACTTAAAAATCGTAAAAAAATAAAAATAAAAATCTTCAAATCGGGGGAAAAAGAGACGGTAGAAACTGCTCTATATGACGAGATCGATCGATCCCGTACAGAGTCGATCGATCCCAGTGGTCGATCTCGATGATTAAACAAAAACATAAAAAAGCATGCAGTAGAAACTGATCGACCTTTTCAAGTTCAGTCGATCTACACCGATCGATCTACCAAAGATCGATCGATCTTTGTTCTAGATCGATCGATCCCGATCCCAGTTAATTCTTCCAACTCGATTTCATGGTTTTTTCGGTTATATCTGGTTTAATTCACATTTGATTTGAACCGAGTAAACACGATTTAACCTACTAATTCGTGTTTTGGGATCAAACCCATCACTCTCTTCTCTGCCATCACGTAAAAAGGTAGACAATGGAGGTTCCTCATTCATAAACCCTAACTCACTCAGTTTTGCTCTGATTTGGACGATTCTTGAGCCTAAACCACACTATTTCGCGAATTTTTTTCGACTTTCTCAGAGTCTAATCGATCGTACAGATCAATCGTTCTGGATCGACCGATCCCCTAGGTGAGATCGATCGATCAGGTGCCCAGGCAAAACGTTTTTTCCTTTGAATTTTTTTTTTTTTTTTAAAAATTGAATTTTAAATATGGAAGCCGAATATTTCCTAATATATTCTTCCTATATTTTCGGATCTAATAATATTTATCCGTAGAATTCAGATTCTACTAAAGGTAGAACTGTGTTAAGAGATATGAAATCAGTATCTACATGTATTAGAACGTTGTAACAATGTAGATTCTGATTTCTACTAGTTTTAGATTTAAGTAAGAATTTAGATTTCAATTTCTACTACTATTAGAACTCTATGATAAGAGTGGAATGTGTATTCCAAACTATTTTAGATTCGTGTTATATGCGTAGAAAACATATTTTGCAGTTCGTAGAAATAGTGAAAAAGTGGATTCCGTATTCTAATCTGTAGTATACGAATTCTAATTTCGGTAGAATAATATATGAAATTATTATTTACACATTTTTCAAATAGCAAAAAAATATCATTATATAGATATAGGGGTTTCATCATTATGTACTATATTTAATTTTTTTTTTGCTTCGTAAATCTATTTTTTTAATAATTTCAAAAATAAATAAAGGGCATTAGAGTCAAAATTGATACAAAATATAATTTAAACTAAAGGGACAATGTCCAAACCTATTTGGTATAAAAAAACAGTTTCCCAAGTATATTTTTACATCAAACTCTTACGTAAATGTACGTATTACTTTATCTGTTTTCTCACTTTGGACTTCATGTTGTAATTATTATTCCAACAGTAGTAATCTTTAAAAAAAACAGTAGCAATTTTGTTATCCATTTAGGTGTGAAAACTGAGATTTCTTGAGATTACAACCATGTCTGGCCAGACTGATCCTCATGTACTCACTATTTTCTCCACAAGAGGTTCTTATTCGTCTCTTCTTTTTTTTTTGATAATCTCTTATTCGTCTCTTTGTTTGTAACTTTGTATATGTTTCTGCTCTGCAATGTTATAATTGATTAAAGCATTTCAACACCAGGTTGAGCTTATGGCAGAGGAAGAACTAGTGTAGATTGTTCATATTATGAACATGGACCCGCTCAATCTCATCACTCTTTTATACAGTCTTGAAACCACTAAGTCCAAGATCTTGTACCCATTCTAAACCCATGTATTTGAATTCTTCGAGTGTTATTAAATTTTGTATAGGCCACTAACACCAAGATCTTGTATAAGCAAGATCGCTAGTCAAGGACATCAGGAGACGTGCGGCTTCACAAACTCGAGACTAACTTAGGATCATTTCAAGGTACATCTGCAGTAAAGGTATTGCTTCGTCTTGACGTTACCTTTTTTCTCATAACATCTCAAAAGTGATTCTAGTAATAACCATATCATAATTTAAAAATGCAAGATCTCTAATATATTGGCAATGGAAGTGAACCTAGTCCGCCCGCTTGTGAGACGAGCTTTAGAAGCGTTTAATAAGCATGACAAGCCGGAGGCTGATGCAGACAGAGACACTAGAAGTAGTAGACAAATTAACCCGTGAAGCTAACAATGAACCAAAGGTAAAGCCTTACACACTGTCCACTCAATTTTTTTCAGTTTTTAAAAGAAAAAAATACAAACGCCAACACCTGCTTTACAGAGACCTCTAAGGCAACACTAAGTAGCTTTGGAAGAAAAAAAAAACACTAAGTAGCTTTGGTATCTTTGCTTAAGTGAGAAAAGTCAGGTATCTTATGTGCCAATATTTGTGGAGCTCCCTGAGAACTGAGAACACCAAGATCATCATCTATCTTTGTGTCTTAATATATGCCTTGATTCTCCTATGATTCTCCTATTTTGAATTGTAGGTGGATTCGTATATTGTTTCATTTTAAGTAAGGGCTAAACCAATGTCAGAACAACATTGAGGAGCACCTAATCTATTTTCAAAACCCATCAACCCAGGGCAATGAAATAATTTAATTGTGAAAACGATGTAATATCAAAATAGAACTACTGGTGAATGAATCATAGATGGTTCTGTTCTCTCAAGGATTTGGTTTTGTAGATTAGTAATTTTAGTTATATGTTTACCCAAAACTAGAATTTATTACTCTAATGAGAAAAAGCTCATGTCTTAATAGTTTGCGTTTTTAAAAGGAGCAACACAAATTGGATCAAGTTAATTACTAGAAGATGTAACAAATTTGATGAGCCTGGTAGTTGAATTCTCTCAAGAATAAGCGAAGAAGCAGATGATGGAGACTCTTTGAAACTGAGTCTGAAGTCCAAACGCATGTGACTCATATTGTAGAATCAGTAGTCTCATGTGCCAACAACATCTGCCTAGATTCTGGTTTAACATGCATGAATGTTTCTCTAGCTAGGCAAGAAAGTCAAATAAGATCTATACTATTGCTAAAATAAGCACTCTACTATTATCTTGTCTGAAAGAGACTCCAAGCAGCCCACAGATAAATATTCGAAGGAGACCTAGTCAAAGTGATTATTATTGTGTATTGTATACATGTAGTCAGTTAATGTAGATAACCAGTACACGCAGGTTTTTTCGAGATATTGGTTTTCCCCATAATTTGTGAACATGACACGTACGTTGGAAAAACATTAGAATAGAATAGAAAGTCATTATGAGTAGTTGAGACTTTTCTAATACCATGGAAAAATATTAAACATTTGTATAGTTTGGTCTTGAGTCACTATAACATTAACTGGTAAATGCAATACGTTACGTCGTTACCTCTCTTCCAATACGTTACATTACAAATCTCAATTTCCTTTTTTGAAAAAGTTGATTCTGAACCGGCCGCCTCATATTCAAAATTACTTTCTTACTTTTTCTTTTGTCAACATTCATAATTAAAAAGCCTTACGTACGTCTATTTTCTTATCACCAAATGTATATATCCTTGACTATTCTTACAAACTATTTTGACTTGATATTTACAACAAAATCAAATGCACACTCTGAATCACTTACTCCGAAACTCGATTAATGTGATTTCAGACTGCCCAAACTTCCACGACCGGCAACTGATTGATTCCCTCGCTAACAATTAAATAGTAGTATGTAGCTACAAAAAGAAAGAAAAAACTATTAATTTTGTTGATAGATCACGTATTAATTAATTATCAACAAAAGTTTTCTTAATTCAAGTCTAGAATATTTTTGGTGAGTGCATTTTGTTCATCATGCTGGGTGTTCTACATGTATGTTACTTTATATTTTCTCTGTTTCTAAAATATCAATATTCTAATTTTCTTATACTTTTTAATAAAACACAATAATTTGCATAGTTTTTTTCTATAAATTTTGAAGTTAATAAAATATGCATTGAAAATGTAAAAAAAAATGGATATTTTAGAAACAATTTTTTTTTAGAATATATATCTTTAACGAACGGAGGGAATAGTTACAACTTTTTATTATTGCTGTGTATTGAACTATTGATTGAAAACTTACGTTTATTTAGAAGTAATTTTTTTTTTCAAAAAGAGTGTACATTTTGTTTTGCTTTTGGTCTTCTAAAACTGGCAATGTTCTATACCAATATCAACACCTCTTTCCTTTCTTTTTCTTGTTGTAATTAGTGGACAACCACATCTTTTGTATTAAAACCTGGTATAAATCTTAACATTTAAACTAAAAAATAATAATTCATCACAACTTCCAACACAAGAAATTTATCATTAAGTGTGGTTATAAACATAAATACAAATGATGTCTACATAACAGGTAGGTACTTGAATAATCACCAAAAATATAAAATCAAATCAACATCTAACCTAACAACAACATTGACGAAATGGAAAACAAAAATAAAACAAGCCTACCAGTACTGTTCAACATTCATTGATTGCATGTCTACTGCATATGTTGTACTATAAATACCTCTACTTGCCTAAAAAATACATAAAACTCAAAAGCAAAAATGAGGACTTGTCTTCTTCTCTCTCTCATATTCTCACTTCTTTTATCATATTCCTCAGCTGAGCAGTGTGGTCGACAAGCCGGAGGAGCTCTCTGCCCCAACGGTCTATGCTGCAGCGAGTTCGGATGGTGCGGTAACACCGAACCTTACTGTAAGGTTCCTGGCTGCCAAAGCCAGTGCACTCCAGGTGGTACTCCTCCTGGTCCCACCGGTGATCTTTCAGGCATCATTTCAAGATCTCAGTTCGATGACATGCTTAAACATAGGAACGATGGTGCTTGTCCCGCTAGAGGCTTCTACACTTATGATGCCTTTATTAATGCCGCTAAGTCTTTCCCTGGCTTCGGCACCACCGGAGACACCGCCACAAGGAAGAAAGAAGTCGCTGCCTTCTTTGGTCAGACTTCCCATGAGACCACTGGTAATCACTAATTAACTTAGTTTTTAACATAATTATTTTGTTATTTATATGGAAAACAAAATCAAAATAGCAAGTTAAAAAATAATTATAAAACAATATATATAATTATTACGATTATTATTGCCATTCTTGTGCTTAAAATGTTACAAATATAAGAATTTTCCAAAATTTACAATATAGAAATCTATCAAAAATTGTATATACAAAACATAACACAGAAGTTTTCAACGCACCATTACCCAAATTCAAAATTAAACACGTAATGAAGACAAGATAAGAAGTTTATGAAATATCGTAGTAGATTAGATTTGATTTTTAATTAACAAAAGTCATATCCGTTACGTTATTAGACTTGTGACAAATAAATTAATGAAATGGACGATTGCATGTTGAAGGTGGGTGGGCCACAGCACCAGACGGACCATACTCATGGGGCTACTGTTTCAAGCAAGAACAGAACCCTTCTTCAAACTACTGTTCACCTAGTGCCGCATGGCCATGCGCACCTGGTAAAAGCTACTACGGAAGAGGACCGATGCAGCTGTCTTGGAACTACAACTACGGACCGTGTGGAAGAGCCATTGGAGCAGACTTACTCAACAACCCTGACCTTGTCTCCAACGACGCAGTGATCGCTTTCAAAGCCGCGATTTGGTTCTGGATGACACCTCAGTCTCCAAAACCGTCGTGTCACGCTGTGATCGTTGGCCAGTGGCAGCCTTCTGATGCTGACCGTGCTGCTGGAAGAGTACCGGGTTACGGTGTGATTACGAATATTATTAACGGTGGTTTGGAGTGTGGACGTGGCCAAGACGGTAGAGTTGCGGATAGAATTGGGTTTTATCAGAGGTATTGTAACATCCTTGGAGCGAATCCTGGAGGTAACCTTGATTGTTATAATCAAAGGTCCTTTGCTTCTGTTAACTTCTTCCTTGATGCTGCTATCTAATAAGGAGTATATTATGCAGCTTTGTATCCTAAAACAATAAGGGATTAAGATCAAACTAAATAAAACTCTTTGTTGTATCTAATCACCACTTCTCATTTTTAAAGCATGTAAGCTGGAGCTAATCTTTCTCTAATGAGCAAAACCAAACCAGAAAATCTGGTTTTGATCATTCAACCAAGCAACCTAAAATTAAAATTTCTAATTTGGATAACAGTTACAATTTTGGATTATTATGGAAACACATAGCCTACTAACTAAGGTTTAAAATTTTTTACACCTATGTTTGGAATTCGAGTCCAGACTATACAACTTACGAAAGAAAGATTTATATAAAATCTTCAACACAGTGCAAGTAAATCTGGTCAGAAAGAAATTTTCATATAACTTCAGATGATGCAATTAGACGAAGATTTTCATAAGAAAGATAGTATTATCGATCAGAGCCGGATCTGAGGGGAGTAATGTGAAACATTTGCATGGGGCCCCCTAGTTTATGGGGCCCCACATTTAAAAAAAAAAAATATTTTTGTTATATATAAAAGTATTAAATATAAAATATTTTTTGTTAATATAATTCAAATAAATAAATTTATTAGTACAATTAAAATGTGAAGATATATTTATGTTATTAAAACTTACAACTTTACTTTTTTTGTAAAGAAAATATATGTTTTAAACTAAATTTTTGACAAAAAAATAGTTTTATAAAATTAATAAAATATATATAAAAATTAACTAAAAATTTAATATTTTTTTCTAATTTCGTTTAGGGCCCCCAAAATCTCAGAACCGGTTCTGTTATCGATTGTTTAAACATGTAATTTTTTTTATAATTGTAATATTATAATAAAAGAGTTTTAAAAAAGAGTTAAAATTTTGGATTTTGTCTTGTGAGAGTTAGAATGGGCTTTTTCACTGGGCTTTGGTAGACAAAGCAGGTCGTAATCTCTCACATGCACAAGTTTGAAAACAGTTTAAAGTGCCGACATCTTTCGCATAACGTGTCGCTATCTCCAAGCATCATGTTTCGAGTGCAAGCCTCCGTCGTAGTATATAAATTTGGATACAACTGCCGGTTTAGACCGAACTAAACCAATCTAAAACAGAAACAGCCACTCTTTCTTAAATGTTAGACCACCCGCAACAAGAGATTCTTAAGAAGAATCCTTACGGAAATATTAATTTTATAACTATTGGGTCATATGAACAGTTAAAGATTTTAAGAATAAAATATTTATGTACGGATTGATCCTTACACTATTCATGAGTTCCACTGTCCACGTGTCGTTCCACGATTGGTCAAGTCTTTTTATTTTAAAGAAATAATCTGAAATATCTTTATATAATCTGAAATGCCCATTTTTTTTCCTAAGGATTCCCCATAAGTATTCCTCCTTGCTTAGAGCACCCGCAACAATGGTTCTTAGGGAAAATCCTTAAAGAAAAAAGAAAAAAGAGCATTTCGAATTATATATGGATATTTCAGATTTTTTCTTTAAAAAAAAGAGAAACTGACCATTCACGGGCCGCCACGTGGACAGTGAAGCCCGTGAATAATGTAAGGATCAATCCTTAAATAAAGATTTTAAAGATAGAATCCTTAACTGTTCATGGGACCTACTGATTATAAAATTAACTAGGTGATTTTCCCGTGCTCATGCACGGGCACAAATATTTATAAAATATATATATTATAATAGTTAATTGATATTTACTTTAAATTTTATATTAATTTATAGTTTGTATGTATAATTTATATTAATAATATTATATTATTGTAGTTATATATATTTTAGATATATTATATTTAGTCAGTTTTATTATTTGGATATATATATATATATATTCGATTCTATCTATTTCTTTGAATTCAACTATAATCTTTTTTATTCTAAATATCTTAAATTTTTGATTAATTGTTTTATTTACATTTATATTGGTTGTTATCGTAGAAATATAACTATATCTTAGTAAGATTATGTATTTTAAGATTTTTTGTGCTTAGAACGTATAAAAAAAATAAAAAATAAAGTGTCTGATTCTATATTACATACATAAGTAATAATAAATCTTTGGAAGCTTATGAACACATATCAATATTTATAATAATTAAAATATTTTATAAATTCTAAGTAAATTATGTTTTAGATTGATTGGATGGTAAACTCAAATTTATTTTAAATAATTTTAAAAATAAGGAATTCTGATTTGCTAAGTATTTTGATTATGGTTATATTAAATTCCACAAACATAAAAACAGAAAATTCAACATCAAGAGAGTTATTAAGAAATCAGATAATTTTAACTATTAAAATAAAATATATCTATTTGATCAAAACATGTTTATTATTAAATTTATTTTTAGTTTTGCTTTTAATATCTCTTAAAACATGCAGTAAAAATGTGATTGTTTTTGAAAAATTATATTATATAAGTAAAATATAATTTATATTTTTGCTGTAATTGTAGATATTATAATCAGATAAATATACTAAAAAAACATATTTCAATAATACTAATTATAATTTTTTTTGCCAATTAAACATATATTATTTTTATGTTACTTAATTATTTTATGTAATCATCTAATAAAATAGATAGATATATACAAAAAATAAGTACTTTGAAAATATATATTTTATTGTTTAAATTTTTTTCTAAAAGAAAAAATATTTCTTTTTCTAATATCAAGATTATTTGTATGAAATTTTTTTATGAAAACACATTATATACAAATATTTTTTCATCTAAGAAGATATAGATATAAAGTATTTTATTACTTAAAAAGTATAATTTATGTTCTTTAAAAATGTATTTAAGTTAAATATTATTATTTTGTAAACTTTCCTTTTTATGAAACCATATTTTATATATACTTATTTTTTTCGTTGTTAAATAGTTTTGTAAATTTTATAACTATTTCCTTTTAATTTTATATTGTTATTTGGAAGATTTTAAAAAGGAAATAATAATATTTAAATATATTTTTAATTCATTAGGGGTATCATAGTAATCAACCAGCGTTAGAGTTAACGTGAGCGCGACACCTAAGAAAGTGACTTCTCAAATAATATTATAGAGATACTTCTCTAAGGATTTCCCCTAAAGACCCGTGGTTGCGGGTGATCTTACGTTCTTACAAGACGACTCAACTCAAATGACATGAAACTAAACATTCTAAACTTGAACATTATTTTAAAGGAATGACGTACAAATATTTCACATAAATTTAGATCTGAACCAAAACCTAAATCTAAACCAAGTAAAACCGAAAATATCTAGTTGGCGGAATGAAACCGAAAATATCTAAAAACTGAGAGCACCGAACCAATAAAGGTGGGATGACCAAGAGGCGTTTCTTACTCCTCTTCTCCATCTTCGTTTCTTCTCTGTGATCGCTAGTGACTTAGGGTTCTCAAACAACGACATGGCCTTACTCGGTGGTGTTCACGATGTACCAGCTAATCAGAACAGTGACGAGATCGAGAGCCTCGCTCGTTTCGCTGTCGATGAACATAACAAGAAAGAGGTCCCCTCTCTCTCTCTCTCTCTCTTTCTCTCTCGAGCTATTCAAGTAATTTGTCACAGTTTTTACTCTTGATCTCGCTTTAAGATGTTGAGTCCGTTTCGATTAATGTATCTGGTTAAGTTTTTAGAAGTGATCTGATTAATTTTTTGAGTGACGTTGTTAGAATGCACTGCTGGAGTTTGCGAGGGTGGTGAATGCGAAAGAACAAGTCGTGGCGGGAACGATGCATCATTTGACTCTTGAGATCATCGAGGCTGGGAAGAAGAAGCTTTATGAAGCTAAAGTGTGGGTGAAGCCTTGGTTGAATTTCAAGGAGGTACAGGAGTTCAAGCCTGCCTCTGATGGTGGTGGTGCACCTTCCATCACTCCTTCTGATCTTGGCTGCAAGAAAGGTAGGAATATGAGAGTAAAAACATTATAAATATTTTATTATAAAAATTGGGGGTTTTGTGGGATTAGATGAACGTGAATCTGGATGGAGGGAAGTTCCGGGAGATGATCCAGAAGTGCAGCATGTTGCTGATCATGCTGTCAAGACCATTCAGCAGAGATCTAACTCTTTGTTCCCTTATGAACTTCAAGAGGTTGTTCATGCTAACGCTGAGGTAATGTTTTTTCTTTTTTAATTCAACTTTTAAATCTGAAGGTTAATATTATCCGCCATTGGTTTCAGTAAAGAACTTGTTAGTGTTGATATCGTATTCGTAATAACTCATCTTGATTTCAGTATTGATCAATGAAAAAAACTATGGTTTCTCAGGTTACTGGTGAGGCTGCAAAATTCAACATGCTTCTCAAGTTGAAGAGAGGAGACAAGGAAGAAAAATTTAAAGTGGAGGTTCACAAGAACCATGAAGGTGTTCTTCATCTCAACCACATGGAGCAACACCATGACTAGTCCCTCTCCTCTGTAATATGTAATCTTGAGTATTGTCTACTTACTCTGTAAGATATTTTAGCTTCTGCTGCAAACCCTTAAATAACATATCAGGAGAAATAAACAAAGTCTTTCTAAAGAGCATACAATCTTTGATTCATACAATAAACGCAACAGGATGAAGATTGTGGTAATAGAAGCATTTTTTTCTAGAAAAAGTGTTACATGATGCTACTCTAATTAGGACTCCTACTGTCACTGGCTTTACCTCAGCTTTCTTCGTCATAATCTTCTTCGTCCTCGTCTATCCTTTTACCCAAACTTGCTAACTGTGTTGGATCCATTTTGCCCGTCATGGACCAGCCCGGATATTCCTCTGAGGCTGTGTCTGTGGATACGACTGGTGCCACTTTGGTCTCGTTCAGGTCGAGAGATTCAGCATTGAGATCAAAGTCAATGCCTTCTTTTGGACTTTGAAGTTGTTGCTTGCTGTCTTCGTTTGATTCTGCAATAACTTCTTTTGGACTCTGAAGTTGATGCTTGGTGGTGTCTTCGTTTAATGCTGCAATGTTACCGTCAACATCTTTCTTCTCGTTCTGTTGTAGTGATGAGACAGACGCATGCATCTGGATACTGTCTTGAGGAGGTGGCTGTTCCACCGTGGCGGTCTCAAGTTCCATCTCGCGGTTCATATTCTCTCTTTCGGCTGATCTGGCAGCTCGTCCCCCACGGCCTCTTCCTCGTCCCCTCCCTCTACTACCCCTGCCACTGGGCTTAGGACTCCCCACTTCTTGCTGAAATAGTCAACACAATAGCAACAACAGTTCACATCGATATACAGACACTAAATAAAATAACCAATTTACTAAGAAGAACATTAGCTCACTGTTTTGCTCTTCTTACATTCCTCGTCGCTATCATTCACTTCTTCACTGATCAGCGTCCTGATTTAATTAATCGTTTCACATCAGCTTGATACAGGCTTACCATATAAAATAACAAGAATATAAACAGCCAAGAGTTGCAACCTTTTCTTGGAGATGCTGCGATCATCCATGGTAGCATCAACCTGGCCCTGGCCATAGTCAGGCACTTTGCTCACAACTTCCCTCAGAAAATCAAACACGTTATACGTTTCCACACAGTGTTTTCTGTAAACAACAAAAAACACCTTTAAATAAACGTGGATGCAGTGTTATCACCAAAACCCGTATGAAGTAAACGAGCAAAATGAACTAGATACCAAATATATAGTTCTGTAAACATGAAACAACATCCTTTTCCGTGTTGGGACGCAGTCATTAAAAAGGCCAATGAGTTGGAAGCTCTTCCGCAAAACAACATTCATGTTACCTCTTAAACCATAATATATATATATACAGTTACAATATGCACAGGGAAATCAATAGATAAAGCCTAAGGCAATCTACTGCTTACAGGTGCAATGAGCTCACAGTCTTGGCTCCTCTTTCAAGGGTAATCTCATATGTACGATCGCAAAGGTCTTGTAAGAACAATTCCAAAGACTTCGCTGCAATAAATAGAACATTAAAAGATTAACAATTGCGTTTAAAACTGATGACAACAACTGAAAAAAAAAAAGGAAGATGACTCACAGACTAAGACAGGAACTGCCAAAGCTATCTTGCCAACATCCTCATCAGCTTGCATAATCTTTTTAATACGAGCCTGTGCCATCAAAACAAACACAACTCTTAGTGGCAAGAAAGGCTACCCCCGCGCTAATTGTGCTCATTTCAATCAGTCAATCTTATATAAACACTGACACTCAAATGGAAATTTTTTTTCTTTCAATTCTGTGAATAATAAGTTAAGAAATCATTTTAGGAGTTCCATAAGTGTTAAAAAAATCTAACCAAGTAAAAAACAATTCTTACATGATAATCCAGTAACAACACTATGCACTTAACTAGAACATATTCTATTACAAAAGTCACCAGAAGTAAGATTATTTAAACTACAAGACTTTTTAGAACACGGGATATTCCGACAAGTGTTGGAAACTCGATCCAAAACACAACACAGATTCCGGAAGTAAATCAATTCGAGACAAACAAACAAACAAACAAAAAGCTTACAGCTGGGAACCGGGTATCGAGCTTCTTCCTCATGATTCGAAACTCCAATCCAGAAACCGACCCGAAAAACTTATGTAATCGGAAAGTAGTATCTTTGACTACTTGGTGGACAAGAAGAACACTACCAGATCCGGCGACGGCGGTTTACTGGTTTACAATTTCCCCGGCTGAAACAAAATAGATTTTTTTATTATTACAAGAAAAAATAAAAAAGATTTGGGTCAAAAGAAAAAAGTATTTGTTCGATTGACTAATCGGATTGTCTGAAAAGATCTAACGCGGTATTATTAATGGACTGTACGAAGCCTGATCCAACAAAAAATTAGTTATAGAGATAAGGAGGAGAAGAAGATATGGGCCTTGAATTAATGAAGCCCACTAGAACAAAAATTGTAAACCAGCTTGTTGAAATATAGGGTAGAAGAAAAATGAGAAAAATGCCAAAAAAATCGTGAATTTTCAAATTTAGGCCAAAAAAAAATTGAACTTATGTTTAAGAGTTTATTTGCCCAATAGCCACAGAAAAAAAGAAAATTAGGTTTTTTAGGAGAGAGAGTAGAGAGAGATAGGAAGAAAAGTAAGAGAGAGGGGAGAATTTTAGCTATTTTGTGAATTTATGTTTTTTTCATGCCTATAGAATGCAATTTATGTATGTTTAAGCCTAAAAAGCTTCAATCTATTTTAAATAGTCAATTTAAATTCCAAATTTCGTTGACTGAGCCAAATCAGAAATCCAAATAAGTCCAGAGTTAATTCATCAAACGTCTGTTAAGTTGTAAAACGACGTCGTTTTGAAAATTGATTCACACGTAACAAAACTACGTCGTTTTGTATATCTTTTTTTTTTTTTTTCTCTTCTTCTTCTTCTTCTCGAGAAACTCCCCAAATTAAAAACCCTAATTCTCCAATCTCTTAATTCTCTATGTCTGAGGAAGGTGAGAGCCGTGCAACAAATTATTATTATGTGTGTGAGGATGATGAGATTCGTGGATTTTCGAGACAGTGTTTCTGTGGACGTGGTGTTTCGATTTCGGTATCAAAGACGAAGGAGAATCCTGGTCGTCCCTTCTTTCGCTGTCCGAGTTTTAAAGATGTATATTGAACTTAATATAGAGATCAGAGAATTGAGGGATTATAGAATTAGGGTTTTCAATTTAGGATTTTGATTTGCAGATTTTTTTGTCGTGAAAGAGAAGAAGAAAAGATAAAAAAAGGAAGATATACAAAACGACGTCGTTTTGTTACTTATGAATAAATTTTCAAAACTACGTTGTTTTTCAACTTAACAGACGTTTAATGAATTAACCGTGGACTTAATTGGGTTTCTGATTTGACCCAGTCAACGAATTTTGGAATTTAAACTTGCTATTTAAAAAATATTAGAGCTTTTTTTGATTAAACATAAGTTCAAGTTTTTTTTTGCCTAAATTTGAAAATTCACGTGTTTTTTGGCCATTTTCTCGAACAAAAATTGTAAACCAACTGGTTAAAATAAAGAGTACCTAGCTTCTAACTACGTGTACACCATTATCTGCTTCTAAGACTATCTAGAATGGATATAGTTGAATAAAAAAAATTCAACACTTGGAGACTTTAAAATGAGAAGTTGAAAAAGATTAGCTGAGATGGATTAAACTTGTTGAAAACTTCAACAGATTGAATCACTTAATGTGGGACAAAATTGAACAAGTGTCATTAACTAATTGGATGAGTCAATTGTTTTTAGTTAAATATAAACTAAAATATATGCTATTTTCTTATTGACTGTGAAAATTGTAGTTATTCTTTTTTACATCCAAATAATTTGAGATCAAATACATAATGATAAGTTATTCTTTTATTTGAAAATATCATATCAAAGTTCATAACTTTTTAGACTCTATAAAAAGAGATTGTTTTCATTTAATTTGAACACCAAATAAAATTTTATTTTTTCAAATGAGCTTTGATAATACTAATAACATCTAAAGTTCTACAAACTATTATTCCGTCCATTTCACTTTAGTTGTTATTTTAGGTTTTTGTACACATATTAAAAAAACATTTGATATTATATATTTTCGAGATAAAAATACAATTACCTATACACCTAACCACTTTTCAACAAATAAAAAAAATAGAATACCATATAAAGTTAATAACTTTTGCATTAAAATTATAAAACGAGATTTATTTAAAAGCAATTTTTTTCTAGAACAACAAGTAAATCGAAACAGATGGAATATTTGATTATCCAAATCTCATATTTCGTATTTATAATTACATGCAAAAGTGGAAACATGAATGTTTTTTTTTTTAAAAAAAAATATAGCTTTTAATGATTTTACGTTAGTTTCAATTTGTTCTTGTTTTAAAATTTTGGAAAGTTTTGCGATTAAAATACAATTTTGTGTGGTTTTAAAATTTTTATTTTTTATTATACTAATTAAGTTATGTATTTTTTATATGTTTTAATAAAACCATTGTAAAGATTAAAAATAGTTAGGAATACCAATCAAAGAAAATTAAATAAAATTATTAAAAATTATATTATTTTAGTTATTTAATCTAGTTACAAGCAAAAATCATTATTAACATGTAATTAGTAAACCATAAAATGAGAATCTATTATATTAAAAGAGAAGTCATGACTTCTTATTCATGTGTGGTTTTTTATAAAATGGACTATCTACTAGAGTTGGTCACACTATATATTTAATCATTAATAACATTCATTAGTTTCACTAATAACATTTATTGGGCTTACAATAAATTTTTATTTGGCTAATAAAAATTAGATTATCCATTGAATATTAGATAGTATAATAAAATACATGTTTAAATTAAACTTATATAATTTAATATTGTAATAGTATAAGTTAATTAGTTATATATTTTCGATGTTAACTTTAAAATTATATAGTTTATTTTTAAAAATGACAAAAATATCATTTTCTAACAATAATTATCTATATTATATAATAATTAATCATCATTTTCGATATACACACCTTATATAATATATCATTTTAATATACACACTTTATATAATATATACCAATTTAGAAGTAAAAACAAAATGTTTATATAAAAATAAATAAAAACAAATACCCGCGCGGTTGCGCGGGTTGAGATCTAGTATGGATTAAAAATGGTGGGGTAGGTTGTTGAATTTTCAAAACAAAACCTTTTTTTTTTTTTTTGGTGAAAGAAGTCTGAAAATGGAAAAGTAGGGTGTTAGAATTTGTAAACCAATGTATATGGATATGGTCTAACTAACGTGTAAACCATTTCTTTCCCCTTCTATACATAAGCCAAAATAAGAAGTCATTTCCCTTTGTCATCGTCTCCTTCTTCAGTTAGAGTCATTAGACTTACACCACCAACACCGATACAGTCCCGATGGTTCCTCCGCCGTCAAACCCGCAAGAAGTGCAACAATTCCTCTCCTCCGTCCTCTCACAACGCGGCCCCAACTCCTCCCCTTACGACGAATCCACCAAGTGGCTACTCAGACAACACCTCCTCGACCTAATCACCTCCCACCCTTCCTTAACCCTCAAAACGGCGACGTCCCATTCCTTAAATCACCTACAAGCAGATGGAACCATCCCGATGATTTACCACGGGGTCACATACAACATTCCCGTCGTCATCTGGCTACTAGAATCTTACCCTTTCCACCCTCCTTGCGTCTACGTGAACCCCACTCCCGATATGATCATCAAACAGCCCCATGCACACGTCAACTCTTCGGGACTCGTCTCGTTGCCTTACCTCCAGAACTGGGTTTACCCTAGCTCCAATCTCGTTTATCTCGTCTCCGAGTTAAGCGCTGCTTTTGCTTGCGATCCTCCTCTCTACTCGCGACGCCTTCCTGATCAGTCATTGTCTCCTTACCACCAGCACGTTCACCACCACCACCAGAAATCAGATGACGTGGCGGAGGATGTTATTGACTCTTGGTCTTGGGTTAGGGAGAACCAAGGGATGGCCACGAGTTTAGTTTATCTGAATTTGGATTTACCTGTTGAAAATGCGGTTTATTCAATTGATAAGCCGTTTCAAGATGGGGTTGGCCCGTTTGATCAGTACTCGAGGACTATGAGGTGGTTGTCGAGAGATCAGTTCAGTACATTTCCTTTTTTGGGATGATGTTGTGTCACAATGATGGTGCTTTCGTGTGATGATTCCTTTTTCAGATTGAATTAAAATGTCTATTATTAAACTATATATTCATATACCTACGGGTGCATGTACAACTTTGTATAAAAAAAAAAAAAAAAACTTTGAATGGATCTACTCTTCATTTGTGATCTATGACCATTTGTTTTGTTTCTGGAATCTTTGTGATGAACATTATTTGCTCTATTAAGCTTACCAGTCTTGTTAATTATTTATAATGGTCAACGTACTGTTTTTTTTTAAAGAATGTTAAATTAATTCAAATAAAAAAAACTGTTTACAACCAAAGTTGATCGTTTTAGCTCACAAGAAACAGAAAATTAGATTTACATCATATGGTAGAGTCATTTAAAAACGTACTGTTACGTTTTCACATGTTCTTATATCTTTCACTTCAGATTTTCCTAATGGTCTCTTGTTTGGTGAATTAAGTAACGTACAACAATTCAATGAGCCTATATTTGCAGCGCAAACGAAACGATGGTTAGAGAAACGTCCCTTTAGGAAAAATTCCATTGTTGTCGAGAAGCAGTTTTTCCGACCAAGGCCGGCCCAACCACCCAAACCACCAATTAGAACATCCAATTAATAAGGCATATTTTTGAATTTTTTATTAGTATTCATAAATATAGAGAGTTTTTAAAATAAATATTAATTATTGAGAATTATTAGCCAGTGTACCAAATCTAAAACTCTCTTATATCAGTGCAACTAATGCAATCCGTATAACATATTTATTCATAAAAATATATAAACAACACTAATGTTTTTACGAATATTACTATTGTTATCAAATAAATATAAATTATGTTTATATATAAACTTTAATAAAATCCTAAGATACATAAGTAAAAATTAATAAAAATATAAGTAAAAATTAATAAAAGTATAAGTAAAATTATATACAATTTAAGTAAACTATTATTGTTTAAATGTGAGATTTTCTATTAGCAATTTATTTTAATAAATTATGATTGATTATGATCAAATTGTTGGTAATAGTATTAACAAATATTACTATACCATTAACTTTATAAAAGTATCTTTAATAATTATTAATGTATTTGAACTCGTAAAAAATAATGTGATCTTTTATATTATGTATATGTATATATATATATATATAAATGATTATTAAAAATATGTAAAAATATATTGTTAAAAGTAGGGCATTTAAATGTTTTAGAGCACCTCCAATGGTGTTACCCACTATTGGAGTCCTTAACAATATAATATGTATTTCTTTTCTTTTTTTAAATTTGAATAGTTAGGGATTCTAATGACAAATATTTCTCCAATGGTGTTACCCATTATGGAGTTCTTAGAATTTTTTTTATCAAATTTGTAAAACATTTAAATATAAAATTTTTATTATTGAAAGATTAAATGTCAACTAGTTTAGATAATAACCATGATCACTCTTTTGCTAGAAAACAAAGTCACTCCCTAAACCAGTCTTTGAATTGTAGCACCTGAAAAAAAACACATGAATGGAGCATATGTATCCATTTACCTTGATCTAACTCCATCTCACAAACTTCGCACCAGTTCGTGCCATTCCCCCTTTCCACCATAGTATAAAGTGAGAGGGTGCTCATCGCTGGCATATCTCCTCTAGTAAAGTAGCACAATACAAACACAAATAAAAGTTACAACCAGGTATCACAAGTGAGAATGTTGTGTTGCTAACTAAAACAAACACCTTTCAATCTGTAAGCCATGAATGAGTTCCTTGATAAAAAACAGAGTCACTTACAGCACTAATCACAACAGTACCTTCCGTGAGACATTTAGATAATGCAGAGCAGGGAAAATGATGACTCAATCAGTGCAGGCTTGCTATAGCCTAACAGAGGTGCAACATCGCAAGTCATCCTAAAATAAGGATCCTAAACAGAACAAAAAAAATGAAAGATTGATTATGAACACAAAAGCAGCATAATAAACTGATACACGGATATCATTCAAAAAGGAGGCACGTTACTGATTTTTCCATTATGATCTTCCCCAGACAAGATGTACAACAAATCAGAGTAAAGGACTATACTTTTGGTTCAAGTAAATGATGATGAGAGACAAGACAGAACTCACATTGCAACGAAAGAGAAGAAGAGTTTGCACAACTTCCCAATGTCCATATCTACAAGCTTGCATCAATGCCGTCTGAAACAAGATTCATTCACGCATTGGATCATACATAACGAAGTCGAATGCTTTACTCTATTAGCTCAAACTTAAACCAAAGATTTAACAAGTTACTACTACTGATACACATCCCCAAATCGAATTAAGAGGGATACAGAGCTAAAGGCTAAACATTTGAATCTGTGAGTACATGGCCACAATAGTTTCTGGAGTTAACATCAGCTCCTTTCTCAAGCAACAACCCCACGATCTAACCATAGACAAAGAAGACAACTTCAAGAATTGAACAGAGAGATATTTGAAATCTCAATTTGTAGAGCTAGAAAGGTAGCCACGATCACGAAGCCTCTGATGTTGAAGCAATTCCCTGGTTTAGATTTAAGCGGTGAGCTAGGGGCTGAGCTAGGGATCGGAATCGAAATCGAATCCATTGGTTCTTCATCGGAGATGAGATCAAAGATGGTGAGTTCTTGCCAATCTTCGAGGCGGAGATCGTTGTTGGCGAGCTTTAGAGTGAGTCCCATGGAGAAGTAGCCGGAATCGCAGATAGGAAGAGGAGGAAGAAAGAAGTAAGAAGATTCGACGCCATTGATGCCAGCCGTACACATCTCGCGACGACCCAGATGCTTCCACGTGGTTAAGGACTTGATCCTTGCAGTCCTTCCCTAAGGATTAATCCTTTCACCCATCTTGGGCTTTATTATTAAACAATGCCCACCAACATATGTCCCCCCCGCTAAGCATCCATAAGGACATTGCGTTGGACGTGGTCACTGGTTCTAAAGTTAGGGCTGCAGAGATAAAAGCGCAGGTTGCTATGATGCATTCGTGAATGAGGTTCAAGTTCGTTTTTTTCACCAACATTGAGTTGGTCTAGTGGTAAAGGGGTTGCAGCTGTAACTTCCGCTACTTGGGTTCAACTCACGGTGGGAGGGACTATTTACAATGTTTGGGTTCCCGGCAAAGAGGTGAAACCACCTTTTTCTTAGCAAAAAAAAAAGTTCGTTTTTTTCTTTATGGGATGATGATGGTTATATAGTCTTGTGATTAGCATCGTTGAGGAGAATTATGTAGCTTTAGTGTGATGGTTCCTCTTTCAAATTGAATTAAATTGTTTATAGATTATTCATATATCTACTGTCCATATACAACTTTGAATGAGACATTCTCTCCAGTACTGTGCATATACAACTTTGAATGAAACATTCTCTCCATTTGTGATCTATGACTACTGGTTTTATTTTTTGGAATCTTCGTGATGAACATTATTATCTAATGAGTAATTTGGTTTGAGAATGTTAATTAATGTCTATATTGGAAATTGTAAAACTTTAGACCCTCCCTGGCGCTGAGTTCATTTCATCATGCAGAAGGAAACGTAGAAGAGATAGTAACTCATTATATGCTCCATTAAGCTTATCCAGTCATGTTTATTATAAATATCAAGTTTTGAATTGTAAAATAAACTTCGTTCAGAAATTAAGAAGAATCCATAACAATTCAAATAATTAAATACAATTAATTATCTAGTAACACATCTAAATATATAAATTTAATCACTAAAAATAAATATTAACTTATAAAACAATACTAAGAGCATTTTTAACCCTAAGAGCTTATAATAAGTTCTTATTTTTAATTTTTTTTTATTTGTCTGATTTAAAAAAAAAAAATTAAAAACTAACCAATCGCGAACCGTCACATGTTAGTGGGAGCTGCGAACAGCACAAGAACTCTACCAAACTCGCCTCTTGCGGAAGAAGAGGAAAAGGTAGGTTTTAGTTTTTTTTGTGGGGTCTACACCCCTTAAGAACCCATATTAAAGGTGTTCTAATATATCCACAAAGGGTCAATTATTTTTAGATCATGATTAACCTGAGATTCTTAGTTAAGGTTCTTAGCGGAAGTTAAGAAACTGTTTATTAACTTTTAACTAAAAAAACCAAGAGATGGTTCTTAAAGTCTTTGTTTAAGAACTGTTTTTTAGTTTTGTTAGTTAAAAGTTAAGAAACAATTTCTTAATTTTCGCTAAAAACCTATCTTAAGAGCATCCGCAATGGTATTACTCATTAGACCTTATTTTTAGATTTTTTAATTATTATTTTTTCTTTAGATTAAAAAAAAAAGAAAAAAAATATCAACCAATCGCAGGCCACCATATGTCGTGGAGGCCCGTAAATATTGCAAGAATTCGCTATAAATAATCTTTATTTCGGGATTTTAAAGATTGAATTCTTATCTTTTAGCGAGGTCTACTGATTATTTAATTATTTTTTTCTTAAGATTTCTCTTTCCTTAATGACCATGTTGCGGATGCTCTGAGAACCCGGGTTAATCTCTTAGATCCTTATCAATTTGATGGGGTTTGTATGATTGTGGGCCAAAATCTTCCTGGCCCATCTCTAAGACTCAGGCCAACAATAAACCCCTGCATAAAAAAAAAGGAAAACGTGAAAGTTAGTTTCCTTTTATTTTCTTGTTGAAAATGGCGGTCAATGTTTTGTAAAGACAAAACGGTAACTACTATAAATACAGTAGGTGAAGTGATCAAGCTTCTTTAATCATCCGAGAGAGAGAACAAAGCGAGAGATTAAAGAAAACCAAGAAGAGTGTGTCCTAGTTAAAACCTAGAAATCTCTCTATATTTGTGTTCTTGAGAAAGAGTTTTTTTTGCCAAAGTTTTAAGCACACTAGGCAAAGTTTTAAAAAGCCTAACAAGATATGAAGCGATTCCTCACCTCCGTTCTCACAAACAGCGATCCCAAATCCGTTCTCCCTTACGTAGAATCCACCAAGTTGTCGATCAGGCAACATCTCCTCGACCTAATCTCTTACTACCACAAGGCCACATACAACATCCCCGTCATCATCTGGCTACTAGACTCTTACCCAGGCCCGTCTCAAGAGTAAGTTGGGCCTGGAGCAAAAAAAATTTGGACCATTTAGTACAAAAGATAAGAAAATTTGGGGCCCTTTTTCCTTTACAAATTTTTTTTTTTTTTCTAAAAAAGGGCCCTAATCTGGGCTTAAAAATTTTAAACAGTGTAACGGGCCATGTGCAAATGCACTTCCAGCACATGCCTTGGGCCGGGCCTGCTCTTACCCTTTCCACCCTCCTTGCGTCTACTTGAACCCCACTCCCGACATGATCATCAAACGACGTCACGCGCACGTCACCCCTTCGGGACTCGTCTCGTTGCCTTATCTCCACAACTGGGTTTACCCTAGCTCCAATCTTGTTGATCTCGTCTCCAAGCTTAGCGTTTCTTTCGCTAGCGACCCGCCTCTCTACTCTCGACACCGCCACGTGGCGGGGGTTTACAAGAAAGAAGCGATCAGTAAGGTGGTTCGTAACGGTCTTGTTTCGATGGAGGGAGATGGAGAAGCTGAAGGAGTTAGTGAAAGAGATCAAAAGAAGGTTGAGGGAGTTGGTGGAAGAGAAAGAGAGGCTTGAACAGAAGTTACAGATCATCTACATGAAGAACACTCATGTTCTTCACTCTTGGGTTTAAAGAGTAAACCAAGTAATGACCAAGACTCTAGTTCTTTAAATTCTTGTATCCCTAATATATAGGGACTTTGATCCTTTATTTGTTTTGGACTAGAAAATAAATTAAAGATTAGATAAAATGAGAAGCACTCAATAGCCATGTTTGTTTCATCGTCGTGGGATCTAGGGTTGCGTCAGAAAAAATGTACTGTCACAGAGGCAAAATAACAGTGTCAAAAGCGAAAGCGATCGCAAATGAATTGCCGGACACACAAACTAATGAGACGCTGATGCCGCCGATATTTTCCGCGTCCGTTTAATTCGGTGTTAGTTGCCGTAGCGACCGGCAATCAGTTGATCGTCCTTCTCAGCTGCTGTGTGTTTCTCTCAGTAAAGGTTTAATTTTCTGACGCAATCGCTGGATCCCGCGGTGATAAAACGAACAGGGCTAATGTCTAAGCATATGTTGGAAAGTACTACTGCTCAATTAAGCTTATCTAGTCTTGTTATCAGCAACAACAACATTCTTAAACCTGTTTTTTTCCATAAATCTAAAGCAATGCATAGGCAACATTCTCTCATCAGGTCACCTTGGTCTATACACCTAGAGACCTGTCATAAAGTCATTACTGTAATCGTAAACATTTGCTAATAAAAAAATCAAACCAAACTGAAATTCAATAATCTATGAGGTTTATACTGATACAACACTGAAAACCACTTCAAGAAAACATGAAAAAAAAAACAAAACTCCAAATCATTTTGACAAGGCACCACATTTTAAGTTGAATCGATTTTGATTTAGGTGGTAAGCTCCATGATGGCAGAGACAATATCTCCATCAGCAGCCTTAAGAGCCTTCACAGCTCTTGGCCTAGTCACTCCAGCTTGAGTCATCACCAACTCAACGTCCTTTGAGTCAACACCATCCTCATCAATCTCCTCATCATCATCTTGCACCACTGCAGCAGCAGCGCTAGAAGACGATTCACCTTGTGAGACCACGTTGCTGAGATCCGGAGCCTTGAACTGCTCTGCAGCCTGGGACTGGAGCTGAGAGCTCAAGTCCTCAATCTTCGCCTCTCCGAAGATCACATAAGTGTCGGATGCGGGGCTCTTGAACACGTCAGGTTTAGATATAACAAACATGATCTGCGATAATTCCACATTAAAAATCAATATAATGCAAAATCAATAATGAATAAAGAATATAAATGTTTATAAGAAAAGAACTAACGTTCTTGCTCTTTTTGACGGTTACACGGCTGACACCAGTGATGGGTTTCATCCCAAGCTTGAGCATAGCTTTGCGACTCTTCTTCTCACTTCTGCTTTGTTTCGACTTGCCTCCCTCTCCGTCTTGTCCTGTTTTACAAGACAGGAACAAATATCACTAACAATAGTTCCTCAAAACGAGAAACATATGACTCAGACAGTACAAGTTATGTTCCGACAAGTACACATGCTCAAAGTATACACTAATGTAAACTAACAAGATTCAAGGATATGTACCAACAAGTAGTATTTTGATCAAGGAGATGAAAAAATAAAAAGTAAAAGACGGACTTACCCTCTGCATCATCATCCTTATCATCATCATCATCGGAGTCATCCTCATCATTGTCATCAGCGTCCTCAACCTCAGGCTTATCAAGCTACAATCAAAAACACACAAAACCAAATCAATATAAGAAGTATCTTAACTATACAAAGTGATAGTTATCCTCTAATAATCAATTCAGATTCAGATCTAAAGTTCCAAGTAAGAGAGTAAGAAGATAATCGAATTACATCGATCTTCTGCTCTTCCAACTTGGCGGCGAGGATCTCTTTCTCTTCGGTAGTCATGATGATACGTGTATTCAAGTTAAGAGAGCGAGAGAGTGAAGATTCGGCGAAACTGTGCGGAAACCGTAAAACCCTAGAACATATGCTATTTAAGTGAAGTGTTTACTTTTATTTGCAAGAAAATTTTTAAAGGCCCAACTATTATGTACATTGTCCGTTGGGCTTAATTTTGGATTTTATCTATTTGTATAAAACAATATCTATGACTTTTTTCAGATTTTCATTATATTTTTGATGGGATTAGTTGGTGTGTTATGAACAAATGTACCATTAAGTACGCTTTAGGGTATATAGTTAATTATGAGGTTTTGTATGTGTATGGAATACAAATACATTTTTTCTTTTTTTAACAACTATTATATTATATAAACTAAAAAAGAAGTATGAAATACATATAGTTATATAAGACAACTAAAAACATCAGAACAAATACATAAAATATAAAAAATTTATTGAGAGGTATTCCTAATCAACATAGGACAAACACTCTTAATCTTCTTGTCATCTTTGAGTTTACGTCGCAACTCCAACATCTTCTTTTCTTGTATAATATTGATCAGATTCCAAATTAGATCTATATATTTTCTCTGAATTAGAATCCAATATACTGATTCATTCGAAACAAATAAAAAATGAGAACGCCAATTTTTAACGATTATACAAACATCGCCATACAACAAAGAGAATCGACTTCCAATTCCGAACCATTGAATTATCCTTAAGAAAGTTATGCCTGGATCCCAAATTCGTCGATCAATGTACCACAAATTTCTGATGAATGTATACTCAACCCCTTTCATGAACCAGGATTGATGAATGTATACTCAACACCTTTCATGAACCAGGATTGTGTACTTTGAACATCATAAAAAATCAACAGATTCTTCATGGATATGACGAGTACGTTGCGGATCACAGGGATATACATCCATGCTAACACACCATAACTAATAAAAAGAGCCCGAACAACACTAAAAGGTACAAGCGATAAGGATCTCCGGTTCTCTGTAAACAATAAACGACCGCCGGTAGAACTCCGGAGGAAGAAGGAAGCCGTGCAACAAGTGCATCGGAACAATCCCAACAAAACAATCAATAACCGTTCCATGATCACCAGAGAACACCAACCAAAACCGTATAACCAAGTCAGATACTCTGTTCTTCTTTCTGGTAACACCAAGATGGACCAGAGGCAAATCCCAAAGTACAGTAGTCTGATAAAAGAATGAAACCATACACGATGGTTTAACGGATGAAGACGTTGTATAGGCATTAAACCAAACCACATCACGAACATGAATGAAACGATTGAGAGAAAAATAAATCAGAATGAAAAGGATCCGATGGCCGAAGCCACCACAAAGCGAGAAACGGTTAAAATGGCGGTTGTGACTTATGGTCTTTGGCGTCGCACGAGAGAGAGTTTTGATGAATTTTTTTTAAATTTATCAAGAGTCAATCAAATACTTTATATTTTTATTTATTACTTTTTCTAAATAATTATTCTATTTATCATAATAATTTCATTTAATTTTTTATTTCATTTATTGTTAATTAATATGAAATTCAGATGAAAAATATCCAAAAGCGTATCCAAAAATTTGTAGAATTATACAAAAATAACCATATTAACTGATTCCATTAGGATATTCTAAATTTAAACTAAAAATGCTTAAAAATAAATAATCAAAAATAACTATATTATCGAATTTGTTTCATGTTAAATTTTGATGTATATCATTCTAAATGTATTTAATTAATTATATAATAATATATAAAATATATAACACTAATTAAAAAAATAAAATATCAATTTATAAAAATATAAAATTTTAATTCAAATAACTATAATAAATGTAAATGGGCTTTAGGGCCCCTTTAAATACTTTCTTCTTCTTTCCTCGCCGGAGCACTAGGCGGGGGGAGAATTACTTAGACGGAAGCAGACGACGGCGACTAGGGCGAGGAACTCAGAAATAGTCATGCCGTTCGTCTCAAAGACACGTAGGCAAACTGATTACAACCGCTTTCCACCTTCAGTTCCCATTGTTATCGATAATGGCGCTTCCTACTTCCGAATCGGGTACCTTAATCCCCATTTAAACCCTAACTTTCGTTCCATCTCAGCTTTAACTTTCAGATTCTGTTAAAAAGTTTGAAACTTTCTCAGGTGGGCAGGAGAAACTGAGCCTCGTGTTGTTTTCCGCAATATTGTGCAAAGACCACGTCACAAAGCTACAGGTCCAGATTCTATGTGTTGCTATGCTTCTTAATTGGCTCCCTTTGGTGGTTGCAGCTAGAGTAGTAACTATTGAGTCTAATTGATATGTTTCAAGCTTCTTCTCTTCGTGATCCTAATAATTAGTTAGATTAGTGTTTGAGTCACTGTTAAGTTGATTGAAACTGTAGCTGCAATTTTAGAGTTTATATGATTATGCTTTAAAGTTGTTATTTTATTGCTGCATTGCCTTCCATATGCTAATGTGTTTGTTAATGGTGTATAGATTTGGTCTTATTTTTTGTACAGGGGAAACTGTTACTATTGTTGGGGACCAGGATCCTGCGATGATGAAGTTCTTTGACTGCACTCGCTCCGGACCACGTTCGGCTTTTGATAGCAATGTTGTTTATCAATTCGAGATCATGGAATATGTATGGATCCTTATCCCTTTTAGTTCAGTAATATTCTTTTTTTTTCGTAATTTGTAAGCTCTTTTCTCAGGGATTTTTGCGGGCTTCTGATTTTTATACTACTTTTGTATTTGGTTAGGCTGGTTCAAGTTCTCTGATGCTTCTGTTTTGATTTCTTACATTCCATTTGTCGAATCAAACTTCAAATTACGACTCTTTAGATATTCCCTCCTGCATCTGTGTTCATTAGTCAATGCTGCACTTATCTGTTTCATTTTCCTCTGTTTTTAGATTCTTGACTTCGCCTTTGATCGTTTGGGGGCTAGTGGATCATCGGTATGTCCAAGATCCTTTTTCCTGTCATCTTGATTTTGTGTTTCATTGTACTCCGTTTCAGAATTTTATTTCTTGATTTTAACGCCATTCGATGGCAGGACAGATTGATCATCCAATCCTAATTACAGAATGCGTTTGCAACCCAGTTTATTCTCGTAGCAAAATGGCAGAGCTGCTATTTGATACTTATGGAGTGCCTGCTGTTGGTATGACGACTATTTCCTCTGAAATTGATTGTCTCTTATTGAAACAATTGTCTGACATAACTCTCCTGTTAACACAGCATTTGGAGTGGATGCTGCGTTCAGCTATAAGTACAACCAACGACACGGAAAATGTCAAAAAGATGGAATTGTTATCTGTCCTGGCTTCACTACAACACACACCATTCCTGTATGTATCTGTGACTACTCATCCTTTGGTATGATAATGCTTATATGTTGGTATTGATCTGGTACATGGCTTCACTGGTTTAAGTTTGTAGAGGGAGAACCTGTATATAAAGGATCCTGCAGAACTAACATTGGTGGATATCATGTCACTGATTATTTAAAGCAGCTTCTGTCACTTAAGTACCCTTTTCATTCGTGAGTGCTTCTACTGGATCTATCTATCTATCTTTCTCAATGTACTTCCCCACGGTTTCAAGATTTTTGATATTTTGTTGTCTCCATGTTCAATTTCACAAAAAGGTCTATATTTACATGGGAGAAGGCAGAAGAGTTGAAATTGGAACACTGTTATATCGCTCCTGATTACGTTTCAGAAGTTCGAAAATTCCAGGTAATTTTGATTATTGGTTTCTCTCGTCTCTTTAAGTAGTAAACTAAAACCACATGATCGTCATTGATCAGGAAGGAACAAAGGAAGCTGAAGAGAAAACAAGGTATTGGCAGCTTCCATGGATACCTCCTCCTGTAGAAGCTCCTCCATCAGAAGAAGAGATTGCAAGAAAGGCAGCTATAAGAGAAAAACAAGGTCAAAGGCTACGAGAAATGGCTGAAGCAAAGAGATCTTCCAAGATAAACGAAATGGAAAACGAATTGCACAGCTTGCATTTCCTTGTGAAGCAACTTGACCAGGTTGAAGAAGATGACATTCCATCTTTTTTATCAGACACGGGTTATACGTCCAGGCAAGAGCTGGAATCTACTGTTTCTAAGGTGACACAGGCGCTTCGAAAAGCAAGGGGTGACCCGAAGGATGAACCTGATGAGTTCGAAGAGAACATTGATTCTAACGAAAAGTATCCTCTTCTTAATGTCCCTGACAATATGCTTACACCTGAGCAGGTTTGTCTCCATAATAATGTGAATTTAACGCATACGATGATCTGGTTTTAATCCTTTGTTTTGCTTGCAGATCAAGGACAAGAAGAAGCAGTTGTTTCTTAAAACAACCACAGAGGGAAGGCTACGAGCTAGACAAAAGCGTAATGAGGAGGAACTGGAGAAAGAGAGAAGAAATCAATTAGAGGAGGAGAGACGTCGGTATGTATCCAACTCAATAGTTTTTTAAAAAAAGAGAGGAAAGAGTAATCATTATTTTCATGTTGTCATGTTCTTATTGTTATAGTGAGAACCCAGAGTTCTATTTAGAGGAGATGCGAGCTCAGTACAAGGAAGTGTTGGAGAGAGTTGAGCAAAAGAAACGTCTAAAAACAAATGGTTCAAACACAAACGGGAATCAAAAATCCGGAAACGTTGGACGAGGAGAACGACTAAGCGCTGCGAAGAGAGAAAGAATGCGTCTGCTAACAACAGCAGCCTTTGATAGAGGCAAAGGAGAGGATACATTTGGTGCTAAAGACGAAGATTGGCAGCTCTACAAACTTATGAGCAAGGATAATGACGATGACGACGAACGACCTGACTCAGACGAGGCTGAGCTAGCTCGGTTATCATCCAGGCTTCAGGAGATAGACCCAACGTTTGAGCAGAAAGTTGAAGGAGAGTTGGGACAGGCATCAGGGGAGGCTCCAGGTGTTCGTCCACTAACGGAGGAAGACTACAAGATAGTGATTGGTGTAGAAAGATTCAGGTGTCCTGAGATCTTGTTCCATCCTAACCTCGTTGGCATTGACCAAGTGGGGTTAGACGAGATGGCTGGTGCATCCATTAGAAGGCTACCTCACGAGGATAAAGAGTTGGAGGAGAGGCTAACGAGCTCCATACTGATGACCGGTGGGTGCAGCCTTGTCCAAGGGATGAAAGAGCGGTTGGAATGTGGGATTAGGATGATAAGACCGTGTGGCTCAACCATTAATGTGGTTCAAGCTGAGGATCCAGTGCTGGACGCGTGGCGTGGAGCATCTGCGTTTGCTGCTGATTTGAACTTCTTGAAGAATGCATTTACTAAGAAGGATTACTACGAGAAAGGTGAAGATTGGCTTCGAGGATACCAGATTCAGTACAACACTTTGTGATTCATCCACTCCTATGGTGGACTTATCTATTTGATTAGCTCTTTAGCTTTCTCTATTGCTATTTGTATAAACTCAGTTTAAGGATGTTTTAGATTGAACTTTTTTTTTTATCATAAAAAAACACAGCACACACGAATAACACATAACATTCTTTTTTTTTTTGATCAACAAAAACACAACATTCAAAATCCAGAAAAAAACATAACTGACTACTGAAACCGAGCTGATAACCGATTTTTATTAAATCGTTGAACTAAACCGAACTTACAACCGGATCTGAACCGAAACCAATTCAAAACCTCTCCGAATCCAAACCCTAGCTTCCCCTCTCTCATTCCCCCACCTCTCAGCAATGTCCAGCCTCAGAAGAGCCCTCCTCGTCGCAGGCAAGACCAAACTCAACCTCCAAAACTGCCACTTCATCACCGGGATCAACTACAACGGCCTAACCGTCAAACAGCTACAAGAGCTCCGCGGGATCCTCCGCGAAAACAGCAACACGAAGCTCCTCGTGGCCAAGAACACTCTCGTCTTCAAAGCCTTGGAAGGGACCAAATGGGAGTCTCTGAAGCCGTGTATGAAAGGCATGAACGCTTGGATCTTCGTTCAGACGGAAGATATCCCCGCGGCGTTGAAGGCTTTCGTGAATTTCCAGAAGGAGAAGAAGCTGTTTGATAATAATTTGGGTGGGGCTGTCTTCGAGGAGAAGCTGTATGCTCCTCAGGATTATAAGGTTATTGAAACGATGCCGTCGAGGGATGATGTGTATGGGATGATGTTTGGGGGTTTGCATTGGCCTGGGTTGGATCTCGTTAATACGTTGGAGGCAACGGCTGTGTCTGAAAATGAGAGTGTTGCAGCTGCTTAGAGGAGTTTGCAAATTTATCAGTGAGCTGAAAAAGAATTATCTTTTGTGTTTGTTCTTCCGAATCAAAGATAGTATTTTTGTTAGAATAAAAATCTGAACTTTGGTTTCTGGATTTGTTGCAATTGGATTGAGATTTCTTGTCTTGTACTGTTTATTTGAAGTGTTGGCTGCTTGAATGGTTAAAATAACAATACTTGCTGTATGTAGACTCGAGATCCTCTGAATCCAACATGTTTCAGCCTTTTAGGTAAACTTTTGTAGAACTATTGCATCACTAACTTGACTTCCTTGAAATGTTTTGTTTTGAGAAGTGTTTTCAGACCAGTGTTTTTGGTTCTGTTGCAATTGGATTGAGATTTCTTGTCTTGTAGTGTTGTTTGTTAGAAGAGCATTGGCTGTCGAATGGTTTAAAGTAATAATACTTGTTGCTGTACCTTTAGATAGACTTTGTTAGATCATTAGATCCTATTCTGCGGCCAGTAGAGTGAATACTGCAGAATCCAACACGTTTTCAGGTAAACTTTTGTGGAACTATTGCATCACTAACTTGACTTCCTTGAAATGTACAGTGTGGGTGATCTTATAGTTTATACTTAGTGTAGACGATCTTATTCAATGCTTGTTTTGCCACTACTTGTGAACAATAGTGACTTGTTCAGATTAGAATTGCCCTTCTAAACCAAGCCTTGCTTCATTTTCTTTTGGTTTTGTGGATCATACGAGGAAACAGTACACTATTATCCATTCTTTCTCTGTGACTTGCCCTGCGAATGCTACTCTTTCAATATAATTAGATAGATAGTAGGCTATGTAGAGAACGTGCGCAGCTCCTAACTTTGGTTCAAATATAGCATCAGGCACAAGATATTATCTATGACTGGAATCATCACGAATAGAAATGATTTTCCAACCAGGGAACGAACTCTTTACTTATACATACATCCACCCTGAGGCTACTCTCTTTCTGAATACAGTTGTTAACTGAACTTTGGAATATAATGATTTGAGCAGTGTTTACAACGTTGTGTGACATTTGTGTTTGCCTTTTGATGTTCAGGCATTATACACAAAACCGTCTAGTCTAAGCTCTCTTCACCAAATATATTTACATGATTATTAATATCTTCATGCATCATCGTTATATTGCAAAAATAGGATCAACTTCCGAGTTTGAGTAATCTGAATGATGCCACGAGTTGGAACCGCTCCTACGCGCACTCTTGACCTTCTTCCTCATAGACCTCGTCCTCTTCGACTTCACCACGTAGTAAGTCATTGTTCCAAGAACACCAGCCATTATCACACCACCAACAACTGTCACAAGCTCAGCCGCCCACTCGTTCTTACGCCCAACAACTATGTATGAGGACGCAAGAAACGCTACAGATGTACACATAGATGCTAACCACATCAGTTTATTGATCACTTCCACTACCCTCTTCTCAGCTTTAGTCTCTCCTCTCACCAACGTGATCTGAACCACCACGACCGCCAGTGAAGTAAACAATGCAATAGCGTTGAAGATGAAGAAGATCTTGAACGATGCTCTCCCCACCACCACCGCTGAACCATCGTTATTATCTCCTCCAGGTACTGTGAATATAGCCGCAAAAGCAACGGTTGCGAACAACACAGCCACAACGGTTACCGAGTTGGTTGCGTTGTTGATCCCTTCTCTGTGGAGTTTCCTGAGTTCTTTGGAAATGTTGTGCACGTTCTTGTTTGTTCTCTTGGTCTGTTCAAGCTGGATATGAACATCGTTCTTGATCTGCGTGACGGTGCTTCTCAGCTCGTCCCTTGGCTGGTTAAGCTCATTCGCTCTGAGAGCTCCACGGCGAGCAAGACATTCTTTTATGTATGAAGATTCTTCTGAGAGTGGAAGCCCCTCTGCAATGTCGAGTGCTGTCTTGCGTTCTCGGGTTAAAGCATTGGCGTTGGTATCAGGCAGAGACAACAACAGTTCTACAATCTGCAAGAACACAGACATATTTTAAAAAATATATATTATACACCTAAAATATCATTTACTTTTAGTTTCTAAACATTCAAGTATTCTAAACTAACTGAATCATCTGAAAACCCGAATTATCCTAATTTGTTTTTTATCATAAATCTTTAAATTATCTGAATGAACCAGCATTTTTACCCGAACTACCCAATATTTAACTTAAAAACCCAAATTATTTGACTTTTTACATATATTATCTGAAATTACCCGAAAAAGAACTAAATTGGACCCAAATTTTTTTGGATATACCCAAACCAAACCAAAATAACTTCTTACATATATTATATGAAATTACCCAAAAAACCGAAACGAAACGAGACTAAATTGGATCCAACAATACACAAACCGACCAAAATAACCAAACTCGAACCGAAAACAAACCGAATTTTGTAAATACCTCTGCCCGTTTTTTCCTAGTGGCAACATGTAACGCCGTGTTACAAGACTTGTCAGGCAACATAACAATGGCAGGATCTGCATCAAGCAGCAGTTTCACCACTTCTGAGCTCTGTCCTTTTACAGCCATGTGAAGTGCAGTTTGTCCTTTCTTATCAACCCTTCTCGCTAGCTGAGAATCCTTGACAAGCAGAGCTTTTATGACATCCACATGCCCTTGCCTTGCAGCCAGATGCAATGCATTCTTATGGTTAGACCGAGAAATATCTAACAAATTCCCAGCTTTGGATAAAAGCTGGTTCACAACTTCTGTATGGCCTCTCATAGCTGCAGACACAAGCGGAGTTGCATTCGATGGTCCAAACGTATGACTAAGTGTCGCATCATGATCTAGCAAGACCTCAACAATAGCTGCAAGAAACAAAACAAACATTTTAAAATTATTCACTTATTCATAAACAAATAGCAGAAGGAGCTTTTTACCATGATGGCCTTGAATAGCAGCAATATGAAGAGGATCATAACCAGAACGATTCTTCTTAGCAATACTCTCTCTACTCGAATACTTCAAAAGCTCTTTAACAACATCAAGATGTCCTTTATCAGCAGCAGTGAAGAGCGCCGTCTCACCTAACTCATTAACCTCGTTCACAATCGAAGCCCTTATCTCTGCAACTTCAGCATCAAACTCTTCCCCACTCAAAGTCCCTTCCATCTGAGAGTTAATATCCTTTAGAATCTGCTGCACAGCTGCTAAATCGCCACGCTGAGCAGCTAAGTGAAGCTCAGTGTCGTTGTGACGACCTGTGACTTGCTTGACGTACTTCTTCTTCCCAGCTTGATCCATCTTCTTGCCTGAGTTAGACAGAACCAAAGCTGGTGCAGTCGCTGTTGCGGAGGGTGAAGGTGTTGGTGATGGTTCTAACATAGAGTTTTGAGACTCGCTTGACTGCAGAATCATTCCTCCTTTCTCCATATCTATGTCTCCTGAAGAGTTCAACAGAAATAAAAATTTCAGTTTAAACGACCTAGTAGATCTGGAATATATATATATATATACACATCTATGTGATACAAATGATTAATTCAATTAGGATTTAAATAAATTTTAAGACAAGAGTTCATAAGTGAAGAAAGCATGTGGGTGGTTCGGTGATTAATAGACAAGACTTGGGACCATGAAGATCAACATGTCTGAAAACGGTTGAATTATTCTTTTCCGACAATCACGCAAATAATCAATCAACTGCCAAACTTCAAAGAGAATAATAATATTGAAGGCTGCTTAAAACTAAGTTTCCAGCTCAGCACAGAAACAAATCAAGTAGTGTTTTTCTTTTTAATAATCAAGATTCTAGATCGTAGAGAAAAGATGTGTGTGTGTTGTGTTACCATCTAGAACGGATGAGGCGGCCATGAGTGAAGCTAAAGAGATGGAAGAAAGAAAGATGTGTACTGTGTTTGTTTTTGAGATGTAATTGGGGAAAGTATAAAGATAGATAGATAGAGAGAGAGAGAAGGAGATGGGAAAGTGAGAAGAAGGTTAGATGAGAAGGGAAGACTCATGCCCATGTGGTCAAATCCACTAGAATATTTGCTTCTTTTCTCCTTTATTTTATTAAACTAATCTCAAGCTTTATATATTTTATGACATTGCCCTTTATTAAGTTATGGGTTCGCAAACTTTCCACGTACTTTTTTGTAGGACATACAAAGTTTGTTTAAAACTTATTTTCCAACTTGTATATTTATTTTTGGCAATACCAACTTGTGCCTTGTGCGTATAATAATTGTCATATCACTCTTAAGCAGACTCAATTACATCCATTGTAATTCCACTTTTCCTGAATCCAGTATGCAACAATATAATAATTTTAAATAAGAATATTTACTCCAATACATATAAATAAATTAATTGACAAAAAACATATAAAATAACTTTTTAAAATAGAAAAATGCTATTTTACTTTTTTATAAATATAACTAATAAGTTTTCCGAATAAAAAAAAAGGTGGATTTGAGTATATCTTTTGTATAATATCTTTTGAAATTAAAAATATCAGCTTGTTGAAAATGCTGTTACTAGTAGTCCACTGATAAAGTCACTCTTACAGTTTAAATTATGCGATTATTGTAATAGCTTTGATGATTAATTTAAACTTTTCTTTTGATTCTGTTGATGATATACTATTGCTTTTATCAAGTTTTACAGACTGTAAGTGGATGTTCACGAGTAAACCAATTAAACTTTCCAGGAAAATGAGTACCACTCACTAAAATGTAAGCACTTGTAAAAGAATATTTCTTAAAAATAAAAATAAATTAAATCTATTATCCAAAAGGCACAAGAGGAGAGTGAGAGATAGAAGAAGCAGACACGAAGCTCTCAAAACAAAACACACACAAAAAATGGCGACAACACATCTACGCATCACGACCCCTTTCCCATCTCAACCCTTTCTCCAAACCCTTAAGCCACACGCTTCAAAGCTCTTCACCGTCCGCGCCACCGACGTGGAATCAACCGAAGACACTCAACCCGACTCATCATCAGACACAACCCAAACCGAAACTTCCGACGAGTTCGAGTCACGTCTCTCGAACATCCGTCTCCGTTACCGAAGCGGGACTGGGAAGAAAGCAGAGGCGAGGAAGTCCAAGAAAGGCTCAGTGGGGCCCGCGTCGAAAACCTCGGGGATTTACTTGCCGCCGGTGAGTTTAAAGGAACCTGTTTCGGGTGGGTTGAAAGTGGAGTTAGGGTTTAGTCGTTATACTGAGAGGCTTAATGGGAGGATGGCTGGGTTAGGGCTTGTGGCGTTGCTTTTGGTTGAGTTGGCTACGGGGAAGAGTGTGGTGAATTATCATACGCCTTCTGTTGTGTGGCTTCAGGTTTATTTTATGTTGGCTGTTTCTGCTATGTTTGTTAAGATTGAGAAGGAGAAGGTTAGTGTTTGGCCTAAGGATTGAAAAGAAAAGGTTGGTTTTGTGATTGAAAGTGTGTATGGTTTTGTAACTTTTGAAGTATTGTATGTAATGTATATTCACGGGAGCTTTAAGATTGTTGTGGAATACAAAGATATTAAAGAATCGGAGTGTGTTTGTTGTTTTTGTTGATGTTCTAAGTGATGTTTTGTTCTGTTGAGTCGTGTTCAGTTGAAACTTGAGATGAGATGGATGCGAAGTTGTAGTCCTGAAGTTGTGTGACAGTAAGAATGAGTAGCTGGTTTATGAAGTGGATGCAGTAAAAACCAGACGATGCCATTGCTTCATATTCAAAGTTGTAGTCCTGAAGTTGTGTGCCACTAAAAGAGTCCAGGTCAACTACGAAATGTTGTAATCCTTAACATATTGTTTAGGTTTGTTTTAGTTGGCGAATATTACAAATATTGACAGACTTTCTTCAGTCTTTGATGTTAACACATCGACGGCTTTGAAACATCATCCAACAATATCTCTCTCAAACTAGGAATGGTCAGCGCAAGTTCATGACTCATTTGCTTCTTATGTTAAAATGTGATACTATTAAGCGTTGTCTCTTTGTTTTGAAATTGGGCCTTTATTGGGTCGTCTTTACTTTACTTGCACTGGATGTGATGATGATAAACACATGTACTCAGAATACCTGTGCCTAAGAATGAGTGCCTAGTTTTTGTAGTGGAGGCAGTTAAAATGAATACGATGCCATTGCTTTCTTTAGACCTTTTTGGACAGGCGTAAGTTTCTGCTCTGAGCCATCAAATTATCGGCATGTGGAAACATTCATTGGCTCCATTCTCCAGTGTATGAGTTTCTTGGACTTCCTTGAAACTTACAGAACTAACTCTCTGGATTACTCTGTTAAATCAAGATCAAGAAGTTTATGTTTTTTCGGAGTTCATGCTGGTTATATATGAACAAATGCTTCTGAATTATTGAAACATGTACTCTTTCTCATATCAAGTTTTAAGTCATTAAGCATTGCTGTCACACACTACTAAAGTCGAAAGAAACTTACTGCAGGAAGTTAAAAGAACCAGATTCTTTAGAGACAGATCAAAACCGACGTTTGCAATATATACACATAAACATGAGGTGACAAAATATTCCATATAGGAAGCTGAAGAGACGAGAATGGTTGATCTTGATCCAACATAAGCTACTGTACTCTTTCTGATAAAGGAAAGTTGCTTATGTTGGATTCCATCTTGTTGAATGTGAGGCTTGCGATGGCTCTATCGATTGAATTTGTTTCAGATTCCATTTCTACTTCTCTACTCATCCTGCAATCAAATAACTGTCACTCTGATCAGTTTATATCCCATGAACACATATATTATTTCATTTCATGTGTGGATTAGAAAAAAAGGAAGACATGATGCTATACCTGGTATTATCACCATAAGCATATCTGGATGATTGCACATGGAACTCTTCAGAGTTGGTGTTGACTGAATCAAACTTCTCTTGTGAGTTTCTTGCAAGCCGGTAAAACGTATCCATGAAACACTTTCTTGTCGCAGCAGTTAACTAGCAAGGCAAAAAAAAACAAACACTAAGTTAATTTTTCTAAACACCAAAACCAAGTTTCAACAAAACAGGTCCATTATAAAACGGGAACTCACTTTTTCAGAAGCTCTCTGCAGATCCTGTAACACAAGTTCTTCAGAAGACAGGTCATCCACATACTGTGAATTTAACATGTTCTCTTCAGACATATCCGAGATTGTAAATGGAGCCTCATCCTATTAAATCAGAATGAACAAAAAAATGGAGGGATATTATGCTTTAACATCAGAATCTCTAGAAGTAACAGGAAACCAACATAGATCAGCTTCAAATTAATAATTGTGGATATAATATGTAACAATTCAACTTTGTAGACAAATCTCTTACCTTCAAAGGCATATCATGACAATGGAACATGTAAACTTCATTTCCACCATACATAGAGGAAGTGCCAACACTGTTATTGCTGCTGGAAGCACGATGTCCTTCTCCATCATTCCCTGGAACATCCTCCAAAATTGAACTTCTTCATTAAACCGGAAACAGAGACAGAAAAAACATAAGCAAATTGCAAATTCAAAATGATATTTTTTTTTGTTTACCTGCAAATTTAAAATGATAAAGACACTAATTTATTGATAATGATAATCATGAAAGAAAGAGGCTTTACAAGAATAAATCATCCATCTGTTCGATTCCTTCAAAATCATCAAGTGAAGAAGCACCATAGAAAGCCTTTGACCTCTTGGCCTCTTCCTCTTCTTCTTCATCACTAGTCCTCATACTCATCTGACTATACAACAAACCTTCTCCATTAAAAGCATCGTAATCAAAACATGTTTCTGCAGCTTCAGGAGAGCTCATGCTCCACCCACCCCACATACCATTAGAATGGTATGTCTCTGATGAAGACGACTCTTGATAAATAGGTACAACAAACTCCTCAAACTTAATTCCCGTATAACAATCCATGACCTGATAGATCTGTCATAAAAATTAAACAAAGCTAACAACTTTCAGAAACTCATTAGAGAATAAACATGAACATCGAGTAAAAAAAAACAGAGAAAGGAACTCACTTTTGTAATGAACCGATGAGAAGCTTTTGATCAGACACAAACAAGAAACTCAGATTAAGAGAGAAGATATAATAAGCTTTTACCCTGTAAGGAAGGAAAGACCAAAGAGAGAGAGGAGACCAATGTGTTTCTGTATTGTTTCAACTTTCGAGGAGGTAAGAGAGCAGCAATCAAACGAGCGCGTGTGTGGTAGAGAGCGCGTGAGATCTTGTTTTCGTGGCTCTGAATTCATAGACGAGATTTGTGGCTCAGATCTTTCCTCCATCTAAAGCTATCTTCTCATTGGACCACCTGTACGCCCAACATCTTTCCTGTCTTCTTATCGTTCCGAAAATGACCTTCTCAAGTACTGAGCGGATAATGCGGTAGTTAGAGGATAAAGTAGTCATTGTACTTAACAGAAACGTGTCTCTGGTTGGCTTATATCTAGTTAACACGTGGCGAATTGTTTGTGGAGAGACCAACACGTGCCATGTGATGAGCGGTAGAATGGCACGTCGGTATTATCCAAGACGAAGGGCATATGCTGGAAAGAAATGGAATCTAGCCGTCTTTCAACTCGAAGAGTAGAACATGGCTTAATGGGCTGAGGCCCAAAACTTACAAGGATGATGACATCTCCCGCTGCTCTAATTTCAGATAGGTGACTGTGAGAGTTTCAAGATGGATTGTACCATCCATGATATATGGAAATTTGCATGTACTCTCCTACATGAAGGGATCATATATACTTAAGATTGCAATGAATATTTTACACGATCCTGAATCATCAATGCAGACAAGGAAAATACAAATGTTTTTGATTAAAATGATGCTAAACCTTATTTTGTGTACACATCTGCGGGAAACAAACATTCAAACTTCAATTTATTTGAGAGAGGAATAATGTCATCAAAACCGAGAACATAACTGTGGATAAGCTTCAGATTCATTTATAACATACACAGTAGGATATTTTACTGGCCAATGACCCGCTTGGCACCGTCTAAGGTGTTCCTGAGCAGCATTGCCACTGTCATTGGACCTACACCACCAGGGACCGGAGTTATGAACCCTGCAACTTTACAAGCTTCTGCGTAATCCACATCTCCAACCAACCTGTATCCTGATTTCCTGCTCGGGTCGCTGACTGCATTGGTTCCAACATCGATTACTGCAGCCCCTGGCTTAATCCAGTCGCCCTTAATCTGAAATGCAAGACCAAGAGTGCTAACTACAAGAACTAGACTGTATTATCTTCTTAAAGACAAATGAAAGTGTCTAAAAAAGCTCACCATGCAGGCTTGTCCGGCTGCAGCGATAACGATGTCAGCTTCACGTATGATAGACTCAGGATCTTTGGTGTGAGAATGTACAGTTGTAACAGTAGCATCAGCCTTGAGCAATAGAAGCGAAACAGGTAATCCAACAATGTTACTCCGACCTACTACAACTGCTCGTTGTCCTTTCATTTTTATGTCACTTCTCTTTAAGAGCTCCAAACATCCCTACACACAAAACAAATCACCTCACTACTACCAAATTTTCTTGCCACTTGTCATTGAAGAGACATTTTCTTGAAAGAGACTGGAGTCTGTATGCAAAGAAGGAAGGAGCAGTACCTTTGGGGTGCAAGGAAGGAAGAGGGGTTCTCTGCCTTTCATGGCAAGCTTACCAATATTAAGAGGATGGAAGCCATCTACATCTTTATCAATGCTGATTGCACTTAAAACATTCTCCTCGTTAATATGTTTCGGCAATGGGAGTTGAACTAATATACCTGAAAAATCAAGTACCTTCATAGTTTAGATTAAATGGTAACCGAGGCATAAAAAACCAAACAGTTATTTAAAAGCTAACCGTGGACATCAGGATCTGAATTGAGTTGATGAACTTTGCTGATAAGATCAGCTTCAGAAACATCCTCTGGTAGGTCCACATCAACTGATTTAATCCCAACCTCAGCACACGCTTTCCTCTTCATAGTCACATAAGTCTGTGAATCTTTTCGTGCCCCAACTATAACTACAGCTAGTCCTGGGACCTGCTCCAAGGTAAAAAATCAGACTCAGGGGAAGTATAGGAACAAACAAATTCAAACCTTTTGTTACATGACAAACCATATAAACTTATCATACCATCTGTATGATATAGTTAGACAGATAGTGCGTAACTTGAGAGGTGATGCAGGCTGGTCAAGATCCAGCAAACCAAGAGAATACTACTGAACAGAGTCGACACAAAATTTAAATGCTTTCATGAACCTAACGCAGAATGGTTCAACTGAATTGGAGCTAACGTTCGAGCTTGTTTAGATAGTTCAACACAAGAGATGTGATTATAGCTGCCTAAAAACTAAAGTTTTAATATTTCTGTTTTCGATGATCAATCAAGGTTAGGTTAGAAGAGAAGAGAGTATTACACTGACAGAGACACAACTCAATATTTCATTTTTCTTATGATCAATCAAGGTTCGGTTCGGTTCGTTTCTTTGGATCCTAAACAGTGCTAAAACTATGAAACTGACTATAATTGATATATTTAGACAGAGTATGCTACGTGAGGTAATGCAGGCTGATCAAAATCCAGCAAACTAAGAGAATACTACTGAATAGAGTAGACAACTAGACACAAAAAGTTAAATGCTTCCATGAACCAAAGGCAAAATATCTAGAAGTGACCAACGCAGACGCAGTTTCAAATGATTCAACTGAATTGGTGCTAACGTTTGAGCTTGTGTAAGATATTTCAACAGAAGACAAGTGATATTACAGCTGTCTAAGGCTACACAGAACACTAAAACTAACATAAAGTGCAGTTTTAAATTTTTAATATTCCAATCATATTATGATCAATCACGGTAATAAGGACAAAGACACATCTCAACATTCAGACACTGATTCTATAGAGCAGTAAAAATCGTTTCTTTGGATCCTAAACAGTGCTAAAACCATGAAACTGAACTGACTGTAAGTGACTATAAGGTTGTCTTACCTTGCCGTGTTTCTCAGACAGATCGCGAACTTCCTCGGCGATCTCTGATCGGATGGTTTGAGCAATCGCCTTTCCATCGATTATCTTCGCCGTCTGATCAGATGGTGACGCCATGAGCTTGTTTGGAAAAAATAAATCTGGAGTCTCTGGTTAGGTGTGTGACAGTTTTATCCACTATCCACAGTCAATGATAACGAACAGACTTTATTAAATCTGGATCTATCCACGAATAGGAACACTTCTACTCCTGTAACCAAACAATGTAAGATTTCCACGCTATTCCACCCAAAAGACATGCAAAACGCCGTCGTGTTCTTAAATTAAAAGAAAAAAATTAAAACGACGTCGAAAATGTGGGCCCCGTTATAGCATTCACGAGGCTTTGTCGCGATCACCAAACCCCAGACGGCGTTAGTTTTTTAACCTCACCGTAACGGCGAATCTTTTTCCCTCCCAGCGTTTAACGCAACAGTTAAGTAAGTTTTGGCGGTAAATCGGGGTCAAAGAGGGGCACGTGTCGAGATCTTAAAGGTTGATGGTGCGCGTATAATAATTGTATACACGTGTGTATGTATATACTTGGTAATGTTTTTTTCCCGCGCAAAGATATAATTATTTTCTAGGGTTTGCCGCACAAATCATACCCCACAGAGTCTACAGAGAGAGAGAGAGATAGTCAGAAGAGAGGGAAAAATTGACAGAGATCTTTCCTTCCTCACTGTTTCTTCTGTTTAATTCGTCGATTTTAAGTGTGAGAGTTCTTAAAAGTTGGATCCTCTGCTCAGCTTTAACCAGCGAACGTTTCGTTTTTGGGATCTGTGACACACAAACAAATGTAAGATCTTTCCTCTTTCGTGTGTTTGAATTTTGTTTTCGGGTTCTTAATTTTGTTAATTGAAAAATAAAAATCGAAACTTTATCGACAGAATTGGGGAAATTTGGGAGTTTTGTTTTTGTTTCAATGGGGTCTATATGGCTCTTATCGGATTTCAATTTGTGTGATTAACCATTGAATTAACGCATCATATTTCTTTGAAAAAGTGCTCTCTTTTTTTTTTAATTATTGGGAAGATCAATTAGGTTAACTTTTCATGTTTTTTTCAGCTGAGCTGACACGACCATGGAAGAAGTTCAGCCACCAGTGACCCCACCCATTGACCCCAATGGTAAAAGAAGTGAAGTAACTCTCTTGGACATATGCGAGGTTTTTACTCTCTCTTTGGTTATATAATTTGCTTAGATGAGTTAGCTATAATACCTGGAGTTTATTTCTTATTGCAGAAAGTCCTGTCTCTGGAAGTGAGCATTTGCGATGAAGCTTTGAAGTTGTTTACTGAAACCAAACGGATTTTGTCAGCAAACATGGCTAACATTGGAAGTGGAACGGTGAAATACAATTTCCTATTTGGTTCTTCTCTTTTATCAGTTAAAAGAGTATGGTTCACTATGACTAATTCATTTTTGTATTCTGCTTATTAGCGGGAGGAAGTAGAGAGGTTCTGGTTTGCGTTTGTTCTTTATTCAGTGAAGATGCTTACTGTTAGAAAAGAAGTGGACGGTCTGTCAGTTTCTGGTGCTAATGGGTTTAATCTATGTCAGATACTGAGGGCTTTAAAGCTCAAGTACGTAATACCCATTTCATCCTAATTATCTTTGTTTTAATACATTTGTATTGATTACATATTCTTTGTTTCTGTTTCAGTATTGTGGATTTCTTTAAAGAGTTACCTCAGTTTGTGGTCAAGGCTGGTCCTGTGCTATGTGAACTTTATGGTGCAGACTGGGAGAACAGACTTCAGGTTCTGCCTAAGCTTTTTCTATATAATTTTATCTCATCACTGCTAAGTTTTAATTCTTCTCTTAACCTGTGTTATCTTTTGCCAATATTTAATTACTAGGCAAAGGAGTTGCAAGCGAACTTTGTGCATCTTAGCCTTCTAAGCAAGTGAGTTAGTTCCTCTCCTGTGCTGCACTGTTTTGTCATTTTTCTTTGTTCTTTGGCATGATAATGGTTAACGCAGACACCGTTTTAGTACCTAAATCTGATTATACAATAATCAGAAGAGAGCTTGAGTTGTTCCTCCGGATTTGCATGTTATCACGATTTTTGAATTTCATGCAATATCTCTAGTGAATTGTCATGTATGTAATATAATGTTTTTGGTACTTATTTTTGGCAACAGATACTACAAACGTGGGTACCGGGAGTTCTTCTTGACATACGATGCAAACGCAGAAAAGACCTCAGCGAACTCTGATAGTTATTTGCCAAATAGTTACCGTTTTGGCTGGTTACTCTTTTTGGCACTCCGAAACCATGCTTTTAGTCGGTTTAAAGACCTTGTGACATGCACCAATGGTCTAGTTTCTATATTGGTTAGTGACTACCTTTGATATACTCCCTTTATATATTTTAGTCTTGTTATACTCTATTACTCGACAGAAACGTCATTCTAAAATGTATATGTAAGCTAATTTTTCTTTTCGATATCAGGCTATATTGATCATTCACGTCCCTTGTCGGTTTAGAAATTTCAGCATCCAAGACTCTTCACGTTTTGGTAAGTGTTTATTTTCTCATATCCAGGTAACTATGCCGGCGTTGAATATATATACTATGTTCTCATTTCTGTTTTGAATTTCAGTTAAGAAAGATGACAAAGATGTAGACTTGATTGCATCACTTTGCAAGATATATGACGCCTCAGAAGATGAGTTGAGGAAAATAATGGACAAGGCAAATAATTTGATAGAAACAATACTGAAGAAGCCATCTTCAGCATCCACGTGCAAAATTGACAAGCTAGATAATATTAACCCAGGTTGGTTTAATAACATTTTCCTTTCACAAAGTCATATGAGTTGGTTGAAACTTTACCTGATTGTTTTTAAAAAATGGAGTTTCATTTTCAGATGGCTTGACTTACTTTGAGGATTTACTGGATGAGACATCCATCTCAACTAGTTTGATCACATTAGAAAAAGATTACGATGAATCAGTCTGCAATAAAGGGGAACTGGATGAGAGGGTGTTCATCAATGAAGAGGATAGCTTACTCGGATCTGGAACCTTATCTGCAGGAGCTGTAAATATTACTGGTGTTAAGAGGAAAATTGATTCTTTGAGCTCACCTGCGAGGACATTTATAAGTCCACTCTCTCCTCACAAGTCACCTGCTGCTAAGACAAATATTATTAGCGGCGCCATCAAGTTGACAGCAACACCAGTAAGCACAGCAATGACAACTGCCAAATGGCTCAGGACTGTTATATGTCCGCTTCTGCCAAAACCTTCTCCTGGGTTGGAACATTTCCTCAAATCTTGTGATAGGGATATAACAACTGATATCACACGAAGAGCACATGTAATATTGGAAGCTATCTTTCCAAATAGCTCCTTTGGAGACCGATGTGCAGGTGGAAGTTTACAACCTGTTAACCTGATGGATGACATATGGGCAGAACAGCGAAGATTAGAAGCTATGAAGTTATACTACAGAGTTCTTGAGGCAATGTGTAAAGCAGAAGCTCAGATTTTGCATGCGAAGAACTTAAACTCTTTATTGACAAATGAGAGGTTCCATAGATGCATGCTGGCTTGTTCAGCTGAACTGGTTCTGGCTACCCACAAATCCATTACAATGTTGTTCCCAGCGGTTCTGGAGAGAACTGGGATTACAGCCTTTGATCTCTGCAAGGTTATAGAGAGTTTCATCAGACACGAGGATTCTCTACCTAGGGAGTTGAGACGGCATCTGAACTCACTAGAGGAACGGCTTCTCGAGAGTATGGTATGGGAGAAAGGCTCTTCAATGTACAACTCTCTGATTGTTGCCAGGCCATTGCTTGCATTGGATGTCAACCGGCTCGGATTACTAGCTGAACCGATGCCATCTCTGGATGCAATTGCAGCTCTTATTAACTTCTCCGAAGGATTAAGTCATACACCATCTATCCAAAAGCATGAAACATGTCAAGGTAATTCAATTTGTATAATTTGAGTCAAAGCAGTTGAAACGCCCTTTGCAAACCTGCTATTAATGGTGTGATTTTCTTACCAAAAACTTCAAATTTACTGCCACGCAGGACAAAATGGGGATATGAAATCTCCCAAAAGACAGTGTACAGATTACCGCAGCATTCTAGTTGAACGCAATTCCTTTACATCACCAGTAAAGGATCGTCTGTTGGCCTTTGGCAATGTTAAATCCAAGATGCTGCCACCTCCGTTGCAGTCTGCATTTGCTAGGTACATTTTGGTTATTAATTAATGACGAATTAATTTTTTTCTTTTTTTTTAATCTCACGTCTGCCAAGTTATCCATGTACTGTACTTGTTAAGTTTACCTTTTCGGATATGTGTACAGTCCAACACGGCCCAACCCAGGAGGCGGTGGAGAAAGCTGTGCAGAAACTTGTATCAACATTTTCTTCACTAAGGTAGGTCAAGGCAATCTTTGGTCCAATACACTAGAACTTATGATTAATCGTTTAGTTGGACTTGGATGTAATTAAAATATAGGAAACGTGATAGTACTATTGATTAGGCTGGCTAATGTCTTAATGTTATATTCACTCAATGATGTTCCCCAGATTAATAAACTGGCTGCTGTCAGAATCAATGGAATGGTGGAAAGGTTGCAACTTTCGCAGCAAATGAGGGAGAGTGTATATCGTCTCTTCCAACATGTACTTGCTCAGAGGACTTCTCTTTTCTTTAACCGACATATTGACCAGATCATTCTCTGTTGCTTTTACGGAGTGGCCAAGGTGAGCAGCGTTATTCAAGGTCTTACTTTTATGTTGTCTGGTTTATATCGACTTCTCTTCGGCTAACACTTTTTTTTCCATGAATATATCTCTAGATATCCCAAATGAGCCTAACTTTCAGGGAAATCATATACAACTATAGGAAGCAACCACAGTGTAAACCACTAGTTTTCCGTAGCGTGTATGTGGACTCGTATCAGTGTCGCCGTCAAGGCCAAGGGGTAATTTAATATATTTACACACCCTTAACTCTAAGTTGAACGGGTCTAGTTTGTCTGTGAAGAAGACTAAAACTTGTGACAATAACTTGTGAAACAGAGAGTGGGGCCGGATCATGTAGATATCATCACATTCTACAACGAAATATTTATTCCTGCCGTAAAGCCGTTGCTGGTGGAGATAATTCCTGTGAAAAGTGACCAGGCTATGGAGGCCAATAATAAACCTGAAGGTAGTTAAGAAAGGCTAAGTTACTGTTAGACACAAGCTTTATCCATGAATGAAATACCTTAAGTTAATTGACTGTATTTATATTGGATTTACAGGTCTTTGTCCTGGATCACCAAAGGTGTCGGTGTTTCCAAGTGTTCCAGACATGTCCCCTAAAAAAGTATCTGCCGTGCACAATGTTTACGTTTCTCCCCTTCGAGGATCAAAGGTAGATATCCTAGTATTCTAAGTATTTTATCATAATATGACACTCATGAGGGGAGATTGGTGACAAGGTTGTTTTGGCTTAACCTTTCGTGTGTTGGTGTGTTTGCAGATGGATGCTCTTATTTCGCACACCTCAAAGAGTTACTATGCTTGTGTTGGAGAGAGCACACATGCTTACCAGAGTCCTTCAAAAGACCTATCTGCCATCAACAACCGCTTGAACAAGTAAGTTTAAAAAAACACATCTCTCAGCAACTTCTTCCATATTTGCAGTGTATAATGCTTAAGACTATCCCACATGTAAATTTATTTCTCATTCTGTGGCATTGCAGCTGCAGCACCAACCGCAAGAGGACGCTTAAATTTGACGTGGAAGCAGGACTGGTCAGCGATTCCATGGTAGGAAACAGCCTTTACCTTCAAAACCCAAACCCAAATGGAAGCGATGCATCGTCTTCAGGTGGTCCCCACCTTAAAACCGAGCCTGTAGATTCATCATAGATTTTATTTCTTCTTTTTATTTGCAACGTCAACTATGCTATCATCTGTAAATCCTTTTCCTAGAGAGTTTGTTTTTTATGTTAAGCTTTCTAGTGAGCACCTCAGGCTATATCAGCGGATGGTACCCTTTTATTGTTTCTCCTTGTTATTTATCAAAATAAAGTTTGTCCAAATTTAGTGTTCTAATATTACTGTGATACGTTTATTATCAATCATCATCTAAATCGTTTCCAAATTTAGAAATCTTACCAATTTGATTAATGAAAAGATGTAAGCAAAATGGATGTTCATTCTTGTTGTAGATCAAAAATGCAGAAATGAGTCTCACAATAGGGTACAATCACATTCATAGATTAAATATCTGAACTGGCCAACGACGCTTCTGACCCTTTGAGCTCACCCCTGTAGCCTCTAATGAGACGTCAATGCTGCGATGCTCAGACGCTCGTGCAACACTCACACGCAGATGAATGCTTGAGGCGGGACATTCTTCCGTTCCAACGGCTCCTAGTCTATCATCACCAGACAGAACCGAGGCAGGTGCCACTGAGATTGGTTCTTGAAAAGTCAAGACCGTCTGTGCCCAATGTGTTGGAGGTGTGTAGGGTGATGTGGATAGTACGGTAGGGTTTTCCTTGCAGAACCTATCCGTGAAACCTGTGTCAAACCACAACACAACACCGTGGCACAACCTAGCTTCTGTTTCTGACTCAGTGGGTTCTAGTGTTGCTGTTGCTGTGAAGTCTACTTCATCCGGTTTCATGGTAGCCAGGTCAAATTTCTATAAACAAAGAAACATAAAACATTCAAGTAACTTGTCTTTTTTTGTTGGCAGAATCAAATAAAACTTGAGCTTACAAACCTGGAGAAGGGCAGGCTGTGTCACTAAATGACGCTCCTCTACTACGTCAACAATGGGAATCCGAGCTGTATCTTCAAGAATTTCTTTACCAATTGAGGACATGTCAAAGCCATAGACATCTTCCCAGAAAGGAAGACTTGTGGCTCCTTTTCCAAATCCAGCAACAAACTGATCCCAACGAGAAACAGGGATAAAACTCACCAAATTTGATTTCAAAATAATAAACAACATCAGAAAGGGGGAATAACAAAGTTTTTTTTTACCATTGTGGCTGTGTCAGGGAGGATTGCACCTCCAGGCTTCAACCACCGATCTCTGGCATAGAGCACAGAACTGAGCATTGACTCATATAGAAGACAGTATCCCATCCATTCGCTGACTAATACATCAACACTATGAGGTTGAATCTTTATGGACTTTTCTAACTCCTCAACCATTGAGTTTGCAACTTCAAGTACCCCGTTATGCTCGTTATCATTAAACACTTTGTTGTCCTTGGCAATCTGTTAGGGAAACGGGAGAAGGATTCATATATGAGAAATAGAAAAATTAACAGAAATCTTTTAGAAAGTAGAGAAAACTAACCTTCGTTGCAACTTTGGCCATCTTCTCACTAGCTTCAACTGCAACTACCCTTGAAGCCCCAGCTTTGGCAGCAAAGAGACTGCATGCAAAAGGGAAAAAATGTATATTATTCCTCTTCAATTAGGATATTGCATGCATACCTCAAATAAGAAGCACCAAAACTTTGGCATAAACAATCAAACACAATATGCATATAGACATGGTAAAGAAAAGAAATCCTTCAGAATGCAAAACAGCCAAACAGAGCTACCAGATTAGAAGACGCATAAAACCATAACTACATGTTAGTCTTAAAACCTAGATGCAATTACTGAGAATGAGATGGCCAACGTAGAGCAAGAAAAGATAGCAGCTAACTCACCTCAATATTCCAGTTCCACAACCAACATCCATTACAACAGAGCCAGACATGAGACTAGGATTCTTCAAAAGTGCATCCCGGTAAGCTTCTGTTCTAACCTATGAAGGAGAATACATCCAACAGTTAGAGAAACAGACTCACACATTTGCAAGTTTTTTTATATTGACATGATTTCCAAAACAGTAAGTTAGCATTTACCTTATCACTTATCATCTCCCTGTGAATGCCGAACGAACTATAAGATCCAAAATAGTTTTCATTCACCTTCCTAACATTCCTACCAACAAGCCTCCCATCACAAACATTTGCTTTTTCATCTTTCCCATTAACTGCCAAACCTTCAACAGAACTTTGTTTCAGGTCCTTGCATTTGCCATTGTTTGATACTGAGCTTACCCCTATAGCTTCTTCATCAACAATACTTAAATCCCCAAGTTTCCGCAAATCCTCAATCAAATCCTCTCTGTCTAACACCTCTTCTTCATCTTCCTCCTCGTCATCCGCAAAGCTGTACAAAAGTGAATCCTCCTGCAAGAAGGGCTTCAGATACTTCTCTTCATTCCACGGAAAGTTCACATCTTTGTAATCAACAGTTGCTTCCCAGCTCCAACATTTGTTCTCAGCCACCTAGTTTCATTAAAAGGAACCAACTTTAACAAAAAAAAGCCTACACTTTTGCATAAAACAGAGCACAAAGGTTACACCTTTGCATAAAACAGAGCACAAAGCTTACACCTTTGCATAAAACAGAGCACAAAGCTTACACCTTTGCATAAAACAGAACACAAAGCTTACACCTTTGCATAAAACAGAGCACAAAGCTTACACCTTTTCATAAAACAGAGCACAAAGCTTACACCTTTGCACCAAACAGAGCACAAAGCTTACACCTTTGCATAAAACAGAGCACAAAGCTTACAACCTTTGCATAAAACAGAGCATGAGAAACAGAGAGATTCACAAAACCTGTGAGCGAATATAGTTGATGAGCTTAAACGAAGCGTAGAAGTCCAGCTTCAGCTCCTTTCTAACTCCATGGAAATCAAACCCGTGGCTCAGACGACAGTGGTCGAAGAGTAAATCACACGAAACGAAGCGTGAATCACAGAACAAACAGAGGAAATCGAGGACGTCGTCGTCCTTATCATCAGCTGCTTCCCAATCTCCCCAGTCTCCGTCATCAGAGAAGTTCTCTTCTTCTTCATTATCGCTGTAGTTGAGAACACCGTTTTTTGTTTCCGCCGCCATGAGAATTTTGAGAGTAATTAACCAGAACGGCGCTAAGTAGTGAAGAGAGGTTTAAGAAGCTGAGAAACACCGACGGGGTGGAAGGGAATGACCATTTTAACCTTCTTAAGAAAACCAATTGGTTCAATCAGATATGATTTAAACTGAACCGAAACTCAACTCTTTGAACCGAGTCTGGTTGGAAACTAGTAAAAGAAAAGAAACTCTTGGTGGATTATCTCATCAACGTTTATTAGATAGCTAAAGAGGTTTGTCAGTTACAAATAGAAAAATAAGCGGTAGAAACAAGCCGGTACTCGGAAAGCTGGCCGAGAAAATATAAGTTGGAGTGAATATAAAGGAAGTAAAATCTTAATTCTAACCATCAAATTTGTCTATCCTCTCTCTCTTCTTATTTTCTCTCTTTTTATATAGTTAGTCTCGTACAGATGCTCTAAGTCTGTTCGTTCTAATGGACCTTCTAAGTAAGACCATACTAATAAACTGTAGGTTAAGTTACTGAGCCGATCGGCAGTCATCGTCACATGAGTCAACCTGAATTGGCACCATCGGCTTAAGACACATGGTCTCTCCTAGCATTTAGCCGCTAGGCAAACCGACGATATAATTCTTAGACATAATCTTCTATTTGTCGGGTCTTGTGGAGGATGTAAATCTTGTTCTTCAGATATCATTTTCTCGATTAGGCCAATTAACCGGTCCGAAATAAAAGATAAAACGTATTTAGTCACTGTTCTAGAACGGCGTTGTTAGTAGTTATTATCCTTTTACTCTTTTTTAGAAAACCAATTGGTTCAATAAAATTTGACCTAAACCAGCGAGTAAACCGAAACCTGCAGTGTGAAACGACATCGTTGCGAAATTCAGATGCTTGCTCTGTTTTTTTTTTTTAATCTCAGGAAGAGAAGGAAAAAAGACTCTCTCTTTAGCGATTAAACAGCAGCGCTAGATCAGATGGCAGCACCATTCACGTTGAGGAAGATCGGAGTTCCACCGAACTCAGCTAACCTCACTGAAGCTCGCCGCCGTGTATTCGATTTCTTCAGAGCAGCATGTAGATCCATCCCCACCGTAATGGACATTTACAATCTACAAGATGTCGTCGCGCCTTCTCAGCTCCGTTTCGCAATCTCTGCTCAGATTCGTAATAACGCTCACGTCACCGATCCTAAGGCACTTCCCCTCCCCTAATCTCACTCTCATTGATTGAACTGATTGCTTTTGTATTGTTTTAATCTCATTTGCTTCATTGATGTTTAGGAGATCAGTCTTTTTGTGTTGTTTTGTGGTTTTGACTTGTTTTAATTGTCGTTTATGATTGAAAGCTGGAAGCTTTATCTTGTGGGCTAAGTCTAATCTCTATGGATGATAAAGTGTTTATGTGGTATTGGTGCCAAGGTAGAAGCTTTACACCGTCAACTTAATGTTAAAAGCAGTGCTACGGTGCTACCTTGTGGTTCCTTCTGCATGTGACGTTTGACATTTTCTTCTTTTGCATTCTTTGAATTGTTAATCTGCTTGCTTCATTGATGTTTCGGAGATTAGTCTTTTGTGTTGTTTTGATTTGTTTTAATTGTCGTTTTTGATTGAAAGTTGGAAGCTTTACCTTGTGGGATAAGTCTAATCTCTATGGATGATAAATTGTCTTATGTGTATTGGTGCAAAGGAAGAACCTTTACACCGTTACTTAGTGTTAAAGCTGTGCTACAGTGCTACCTTGTGGTTCCTTGTGCATGTGACATTAGACATTTTCTTCTTTTGCATTTTTTGAATTGTTAATCTGCTTGTTTCATTGATGTTTAGGAGACTGTCTTTGCGTTATATTGTGATTTTGACTTGTTTTAATTGTCGTCTATGTTTGAAAGTTGGAAGCTTTATCTTCTGGGTAGTCTAATCTTATGGATTATAAAGTGTTTTGTGTATTGGGTGCTGGGTGGAGATTTTCTCAGAGAGAAAAAGTGGGAACTTTATGGCGTTACTTAATGTTAAAGCTGTGTTACCTTGTGGTTCCTTCTGTATGTGATATTAGACACTTTCGTCTTTGCATTTTTTCTAAAACAAAATGGAAGCACAAGTCCATATGCAAAACCAGCTACGACAATAGATTACTTCGAAGTATAAATTGAAGGGAGCCTCTTGTCTGCTTGGATGCAGTGATTTCGTGTTGTGTTGGTACTCTGTTTTGGAAGTTGTCATATATGATTGAAAGTTGGAAGCTTTACCTTTTGGGTAAGTCTAATCTTATGGATGATAAAGTGTCTATAGGGTGGAGATTTTGTCAGAGAGGAAAAGGGTGGGAGCTTTACACAGTTACTTAATGTTTAGCGTATGTGACACTTAGACACTAAGTCCATTTGCAAAACCAGCTACGACAATAGATTACTTCGAGCATAAATTGAAGGGAGAGTTTCTTGTCAGTTTGGATGCAGTGATTTTGTGTTGTGTTGTTGGTAACTCTGTTTTGGGTGCTTTTAGAGTGCAGTCTATAGTTTTACTGAATGATAGTTTGTTGCTTCTTGCAGGTGATTGATCTTCTTCTGTTCAAGGGAATGGAAGAGCTGACTGACATTGTGGATCACGCTAAGCAGCGTCATCACATTATTGGTCAATACGTGGTGGGTGAAGGGCTTGTGCAGAATACTGGAAGCAAGGATCAAGGGAAGTCTGATTTTCTCAAGAATTTCTACACCAGCAACTACTTCTGAACTGGTGATTGTTTTCTCTACTTGTTTTGTAATGCTACCAAGTTTCGCATAAGCCTTTTCCAAAATTGTATTTTCTGACTTTAGGAAGAACTCTTCTTCCTGAGAATAAATAAACTTGTCATTTGTATGAGTTTTCCCAAACCAGTGTTGGGTTTTATCTGTGAGTCTGTGACAGTCTTTGCTGTGCAAATATTGTTATAATTTGAAGATGCATAATCAGCTCCCTATTTTTTCTTACTCAAACTGACCTGTGATCATTCCTGAAAGTATCCCATCTTTGGTCATGCTGGTCACTAAGATCTTACACTGATGATCTATAAGCTCTCGATATTCAAAAATCTATAAACATTAACTCTCTAGAAACTACACAACCTGATTGGCTAAAGATTACAACACACAACAACAATCTAAGTCTTTGGGATCCCAGAAACCATTTCCAAAATCTGCAGTCTTTTTTCCCAAAATATTGCTTTTGGTAAGAATCTGAGAAGGCCTTGCTTTGTGATCTCTCTCTTGTAAGAGTACCTGCCAGTTTGGTGAGATTATGTCTAGAGCTGAGCAACGCACAATTCTTGTGTTTCACTCTCTTGGCCTGGCAAGCCACAAGGAACTAAGAGCACGTAGTCGAGATGAATAATCATGCATAGCAAGAAGAGCACGAGCTGACTGACGTGTTGTTAACACTCTAATCATCTGTTGCAGTGTTTGCAGCCTCAAGTTATCAGCCTGTCACCAAGAAATGCATGCCCTATGAACTCCATAACAGACAGAGATACCTATGCATAAGATTTGTCTCTTTTCATTACAGGACATATCTTAAGATAACATTCGCATTTCAAACCTACCTGGCGGATGAATCCTTCGAGTGTGCCTAATTGCCCCATTGCCATGGCCATCTGACCCATGTAGCTCGCAACATTATCAGACGAACTTGAACCAAGAGTTCCACTAGATAAAGTATCAGCTAACGATTGCTGTAAACTCTCCATCCCTTGAGATAACGCATCTTCAGCTTGCTGGGACGTCTGCTGCAAGCTGTTAATGCCCAACACCTGTCGTTCTGTCATTGGCTCTAACTGATTCGCAAGAAGCTGTAGTAAAAAGCTTTGACCTGTTCAGTGTTGATTTGTTTTCGTTCATCAAAATGTCTCTATGAACTTGTAAGCTCACCTTGAGAAGTTCTGAAGAACGGAACCCGCCAAGCCACAAGAAACATCTCTCAGCTGGCGTTTTCCACATTCCAGATAGTAAATGGAAGACATCGTTCTTAGCTGCGTTGCTCTTAATCCTGAAAAGCTCCTCATAGTGAGCCATCACTCCATCCACAATTATCCGGAGCTCGGTATCACCTGCGTGAGCATTCAGAGCAGATCTCAGCTCGTTCATCAGCTTGGTCTTTTCTTCAAGCCATCGTGAATGTTCGGCATCAAATGCCAAAGCCCCTGCAAAAGAAAAAAGCAAGTATACAAGATCAAAAACTTACTTACACCTATCAAACCTAAGCCTATAAGATCAAGATCACCATAACGTTAACTTCCTGACTCTTGAAACTATGAACTTTAAACCAGGCCTTAGAAAGTTGCCATGAGATGACTTATGCAATCACCAATCCATCAACAAACATGTAGCCACTAGCCAATGGAGCATATGCAATCCAAAAGATTAATCTGAAAACTAATGGAGATGAAAGAAAAAAAACCCACCATTTCCACCGGTGGAATGGGCTTGGTCTCCAGAACTTGAGATGAAAACTCCCTAAAATTGTGGAATTAAGAAATATTAGGATGTATGCAAAAGTCAGTCTTATAAGAATCAAACCAAATAAGAAAACACATAAGGTTGAACCTGCTGCCTTGCTCTTTGCAGCTCTTGCTCAAGTTGAGTCAGCTTCAATCGACTGTTCTCCAGCTGCTGAACATACGCCTATGAAGGAAACAATAACATTTTGCAAGAAATTAGGAGGAATTATATACGAAAATTTTCAAACAAGAACAAAAGCAAGATTAGACCTTCTTCCTCAGTCTACTTTTCCTTGCTGCTTCTCGATTTTGAGCGAGTCTACGAAGGGTCTATGGATAAAACATAGGTTATGCATATGCGCAATATAAAGAGATAGTTGCTGATCCGCAGAGATGAGTATATCACCTTTTGATCCAACTTATCTTTTGATCGATCACTTGAATCAGAAGCACCAGCAAGCATCATTTGCCCTCTCTCGGACTGCAAGTCATTACATCGAGAATTAGTCTTGTGGATTTGGCTCTACACGTAGAATGTCCCAAGTTTTACCAAAGGGAGCAAGGTTCAAGCCTCCCACTAGTGACACTGTAGAAAACTAAAAGATTAGAGTCAGATTACGAGCTAACCCCCAGATCTCTAGAATCTGTGTCGCCATCAGTTGAGGCATCAGTCCTTGAACTGGTATCAGCCATATTGATTTATGCACTAATACTTGATGCAGAGACCAATATCCACGTGTTCTCCCTCTTGCAGTGCAGAGACACTATAGGGCTGCAAAGAGGAAGAGAAAAAGCATCTCACAAAAGCAACCAATATGATTTGATAAGGAACAACCAGTGAACTATTGACTGAGCTAAATGAAAAAAAATAAAAAATAAACAGTTTTAAGTATTACTGTCTCTTGTATAATCTTGTGGTTTTAGGCACACACGCACGAGGGATCAAGTTATTGGTTCACTGAAACAATTTTAAGTCACATAGCGGTAGCTTAACTACTTCCACTCTCTTAATTAGGAAGTAAATTCATAACCAAGACAATGGTTTATTATATTCTAACACAAGCATAAAGCAACAGTTATCACCACTCAAACCAATAACTGACCACTTGAGGATTCAAAAATCTATTATTCTAAACAGAATTCGAATGAAATTCAAATCATATTAACATTTGAAATCTATGGTTTTGGTAGATGAGAACGTCATGAAAAGAACAAAAACTTGAAACTTTCTGAGCTTCTGAAAGTCAACAACGTCTTAGTTTCCAAGGCAAAGTGAAAAAAAAAGAGTAAAGCTTTGCAATGACTAAAGTAAAACAGAGAGCGAGGAAACTCAAAAAAAAAAGGAAACAAACAAAGTAAAGCTAAAGAGTTTTGAGTTAAGGTAAGAAGCTGACCTGAAAGAAAAAAGAAGAAACCCTCTGTCCAAGTAAAAGGTTGTCTGAAATCCGATTGAAAGAAGAAACAGAGACACGATGTGTAGTTTCAATCTCCGAGACGTGGTTTTGTCTTACAAACCCCCACCATTCCCCCAGTAGAACATCGATCAACTTAACGGAAATTTGCAAATTAAGCCCTATTTACTATTCATATTAGCTTTAGAGAGCTCTATGTTTTTTAAAATTACAAAACCACCCACACAGGTGGAAAAATATTAATGTTTTTGATGAGCTTCTGGCTCGCATGTGCGTGTACTGCAAAGCACTTTACACACGACTTTGTCCGTTCTACATGCTCACGTGCACAACTTTTCGTTTCAGAGTGATTCTTTCTTGTAAGGATTCGAATTTCCATTGGATAGAACTGAAGTAGAAAAGCAAAGATCTACTCGACTTATTCGGGTTTAGTAGATATGGCTATCGATCGGTTTATATGGTTAAACCGATACCTAAAAAAATGATTCCATCTCTCTGGGTCAACTCTTCTGTTTTTTGAACGTAAAGACTTTTTCTCATAAGTCATAACACTTTTTTGATCAAAAACAAAAGTCACAACACTTCAAAACTCCACAAAAGAAGGAAGACAATGGATTACTGGATAACCATATCTTCCTGTTTTTGAAGGCCCCTCTTCCTTTTGAACTTGAAACTAGGTTTTGTTCCTCTGTTCCCTTCTTCCTCATATTTGCCTTATGAGGTATGGCTCTGAGAGCAGTTGAAAAGAAGATCCCCAATCCTTATATTTGTGTTTGCGACCAAAACACTCAAGTGACAAATGGATAGGCAAACTAATAACTATAGTACTATTACTAAAGTAGAGGAACACTTGCAAAGCCATTTATGGTAGCGCTTAAAATGGATAGAGTTCGAATTAGACGAAAGTTACCAAACAAGGGGAAAGACAAATCTGCTAGATATCTCGTCCAGATTATGAAAAAAGAAGACGATGATAAATGAACATACTACAACAGGGTTTCTTCTTTAGTAGTAACTCCTTGACGTTTTCTTTTCTTCCCTGATGAGCTCTTCTCGGCTGGTTTTTTGTCTTTTGACTTAGAACGCACAGTACAGCTCCATAGAGCTCTCTCAACATCTGAAGGTCCACCCCACTCTCCTTCCTTCTTTAACTCCTACAATCCCATAAATAATTATCATATAAGGCAATGTCCAGTCCAAAATTTAATATAATGCCTCTTTTGACATTTTTTTTAAAGAATTTAGAACACTTTTTTACTAGAAGGGAGAGAAGACAGTACATGTGGATTCAAGATCATCATCATACGCAGAATCAAAGGGTCGAGATTTTTGTTAATGAGATGATTCAGTGCATATGTAAGACTCTAATCACAATGCACTGAAGTAGCAGTAAGAAATGATTTAATGCTATAAACACACAAGAAAGTTCCTTAAACAATGACAGATTCTAGAGTAGACAAAAGGGAAAGCACACAATAATAGAAACTTAATAAACACTTTATCTTAGAGAAGCAAACAGAGAGAGTCTAACCTTTGCTTTATCCTGTAGCTTAGTGACAAACAACAAATATCGCTTCAAAGAGTAATCTTTGGAGTTCCCAAGAGCCACCTCCATTGCCTTTTAGCATTTCCACATTGAAGAGTGTTAACGAAATCAAAACAAAGAGAAAAAAGGGTGTGAATAAAGATTGTTCCTTTACTAACACGAAGAAGACGAAACGTACCTCGTCGGACATAAACGGAGCAATGTCAGGCGCGTAAGCAGCCAAAACAGCAGAGGCGGTGGCGGGACCCACGCCTTTAAGAACAGTGAGCTCGTTAACAGCCTTGGAGATGTCAGGGAGAGCTTTAAACGCCTTTTCAGAAGCAGACTTCACCACGGAATCTTCCAGAGACGACACGAAATCGAGCAGACGCGGCCTTTGAGCAAAGTGGAAGAAAAATAAAATAAACAAAACTGAAAAGCAAGAATCTTAGGAGGGTTTAGTGAGAGAGAGAGAGAGTACCTCCATTTGCCGCGAGAGAGCTTCCATTTCATGAGCTGAGAAAGCTCGGAGGTGGTGAGGTAAGGGTTAGGGTCACGGTCATGGAGAAGACGAGGGAGCTCGACGCGGTAATACTGGTCGAGAGAGACGAGGTCTGGTTTGTTGAGAGACTCGATTCTTGATTCGTAGGAAGACAGAGCCTTCTTCCAAACTCCGACATCCGTACACTTGAAGTCTAGTGTTTCTTCCATCGCTAACAATACAGACAAAGACAAGGTCGTGTTCGACCTAACTACTTCCGCCGCCAAACATGTCTGAGTACGCGCGGATTGAATCTAGAGGACTTGATTAAGGCCCGTTTTAAAGCCCATATATTAAGACCCGTTTTAAAACCCATATAGCTCAGGGTTTGTACTTCTTGCATGTTATATTTTTTTACGTTTGAACTTAATTACCAGATTTTGACAGATTTTGACCGCACGGGTGTTTGTTTTCGTTTATAGTCAGTTATATAAATATTTTGTTTTCACTTGTAAAATTGGTATATATTACAGTAATCACATATTTACTTTTTTTTTTTTTTTTTTTTTTTTGAAAGAATTTTAAATTTTATTCCACCAAAAAAAACAAATTTACACCAAAAGGTGCTACATTCATAGAAAGTAAACAAAGACTAGATTTTGCATCAAAAAAGAAAACCAAAATAATCCACATAACACCCCCCTTAAGCTTAACCATGTGGAACAAGTCAAGCTTGGGAGGATCATTAGATTGTCCTCATTAAAACCTCACTAATGTAAACCCAAGTGGGACAAACCAAAAGTGAGGAAAAAGAGTAACACTCTAATGATCAGGAAGGTGTATAGGGAACCTTCAGAGAAGAGAAGACCACACTGCCCCAGGCGTCAAAGAACAACTCCCTAGTACAACCTGAAAAAACCTTGAGCCGCAAGCAACCCCTACGATCCAAACAGTATAGCAGACAGAGCCAAAAAGGATACCAAAGACCAGCAGAGCATAGAGAAACTACACCCCATATCGCAACAGAGATAAACCCCCAAACTTCCAAACAACATCAAACTTCTATTAAACCACACTCTCATCATCTTAATATGATTCCCTCCACCTTTTCTTTTGGAGTGAAATAAATCTAAATCTGATCAGAATATCAGTCCTGGCAATCAAACAAGAAACTAGTTGAGCAGATTCTCCAACTCATCTTCGATTTCTCTCAATCCAGAAAGCATAGAGGGTTGCTTGGATACAAAATCTGAGAAGAAAAGAGATACTTCTCCCAAGAAAGCTATTAGTCACCAGCTCGACAACCTCAGCAACAAGAAACAAAAAGCCCCATCAATCTCTGCCAAACCACACTTCCATTGCCTTCTCATATTTTCCACCAGTGTTATTCCTCAAGGAAGTTATTTTGTTTCTAACCAATTTATCAAGTTTGTTAATCAAACAACTCGCAGGAAGAGCTGGTTCATTCACTCTTCTTCTGTTTCTCTCATACCAAATAGCATACGTTACTGCCTGCAAACAGTATCTTAGGAGGAAAGTCACAATTTTATCTTGCACCCCTTTTGCCAAAACTTGAACCACCTGAGACCAACGATAAAGATTCCTACTATCCATCAAGTTACCAATAATCCTGCACCACACTTCCTTAGAATAAACACACTCGAAAAAAATATGATCTCTAGTTTCAGCTTCAGAGTTGCAGAGCCAACAACTCGAGATAGCCTGCGGATTCCATCTAAGAATCCTATCACCTGTGGCAAGTCTGTTATGTATTGCAACCCAAGCAATAAATGAGAATTTCGGAGTGGCTTCAGAAAACCAAATCGCTTTGGACCATAACACTTTAGGCGCATGAGCTCGTATGATCTGCCACGTTTGAGAGGTAGAAAAATCAGCTTTATAATCACCATTCTGTCTTTTCCACACATAGACATCATTCTGCGAAGTAAGACCACGGCTTCTTAAAGCCAGAATTTCATGTTCAATCATCTGAAAAATAGGGATTCTATGCCTTCGGACCCTGTAACTCTGGATAACTCTTTCCACCGTAGTGTTTTTTGGAAAACCAAGAACCGTGCATCCTCTTTCCCCAGTCAACTCAAGCAATTTTCCCATAGGCGACCACCTATCAAACCAGAAAGAAGAACTAGAACCACTCTGAATTTCCACTTTAGACAACTGCGAAGCCAAAGATCTAAAGTTTAGAAGCTTCTTCCACATCCAAGATCCCAAACAGCTCTTCTCATTAACACTCCAAAAAGAACCTTTTCTGATGAGATACCTCCAAATCCACTGAACCCACAGAGAAGATCTAGTAGAAATAATACGCCAGATAAGCTTTAAACAAGAAACTTTATTCATTTCAGTAAGATTTCGTAAACCTAAACCACCTTCCTCTTTTGGTTTACAAACATCCAACCAAGCAATTTTTGCTCTCTGAGTCGACAGAACTGGTCCCGACCAAAGGAAGGCCGCACAAATGCTATTAATCTCTTGGATACACTTGTTTGGCAATCTAAACGCAGACATCCAGAAGTTGGTTATACTATAAAGAATGGAGCCAATAAGTTGAAGCCTACCAGCAAAAGAAAGCTGTCTCACTGTCCAAGAGGCAATACGAGCTCTGATTTGCGAGATGAGAGGACTATAATCACGGAAAGTCATTTTCTTAGTTAAGAGAGGGAGGCCAAGATATCTAACCGGTAAAGATCCAGCCTCAAAGGGGAATGTTTCACCAGAAAAACCACTATCATCCAAAATAATTCCCGCTTGATAAATTGTAGACTTCTCAAGACTAATACTGAGCCCTGAGATTCTTCCAAATTCTTGGAACACTGCTAAGATGCCTTCAACAGAGTGCTTCTTCCCATCAGAAAAAACAAGAACATCATCAGCGAAACAAATATGAGTCAGATTCAAATCCTTACAATAAGGATGATAACCTATCTGATTGTTCACGGCTGCTTTATCAAACATTTTTGATAAAACCTGCATGCAAATAACAAACAGGTAGGGAGAGAGAGCACAGCCTTGACGCAAACCTCTCTTACTATTAAAATAACCCGCCAATTCCCCCATTAATCTGAACTGAGAAAGACGCCAACTCAATACACTTCTTGATCCAAAGAACAAATTTATCAGGAAAATTCAAAGCCTCAAGAACCGAAAGCAAAAAGGACCATTGCACCGAATCAAAAGCTTTGGAAATGTCAATCTTCAAAGCACATCTTCCAGAGACAGAGTCCTTATGATAGTTTTTAACTAATTCAGAAGCAAGCAAAACGTTCTCCATGAGAAGCCTATCTTTGACAAAAGCTGATTGATTCAAAGATATAAAGAGAGGAAGCAGACGTTTCATCCTGTTAGCCAAAATTTTAGAAATTACCTTGTATATCACATTGCAACATGAGATAGGGCGATAGTCCTTCATACAAATAGCATCAGATTTCTTCGGAATGAGAGCCAGAATAGTGGAGTCAATCCCTTTCGGTAGAAAACCTTTGTCAAAAAAAGATTGAACCGCAATAACAAAATCTCTTCCCGTAACAGACCAAGAAGCTTTGAAAAACTCACTGGTATATCCATCGGGTCCAGGAGACTTATCAGCTGCCATGGAGAATAAAACTTTCCTAACCTCTTCAGTAGTAACCACTCCCATCAACATACTTCTATCCTCCTCCGAGCATTCGTAGTTTAATAAGAGCTTCAAATCTCCAATACCAACTTCTTTAAAGTCCTCTGGAACATGAGTTAAAAAATTGAAAAAAAGATCCACTGCCTCTTTTTTAATATCCTCTTGAGTATCAGCCACAGAACCATCACTTCTCTTTATCTCTCTTATAGAGTTTCGAACCTCACGAACTTTAGCAGCTCTGTGGAAGCTCTTATTATTACCATCTCCTACCTTTAACCAATGAATCTTGGCCCTTTGGCTAATAACCTTCTCCTCCAAAGTTGAAAGGAAAGACCATCTTTCATAAGCAACAGACTCAGCCTCCATATTTCTCTGATTAGGATCATTAAGAGTATTAACTTGAGAATCACACAAAACTTGATACGCCTCCTTTGTCTTCTTAAATATATCACCAACCTTCACCTTACTCAATTCCCTCAAAGCCATCTTTAAAGACTTAAGCTTCTTCGACAGTCTATATAAAGCTGAGGTTGAAAGAAATAAAGGCTCTGTCTCAGACCAGAAACGATGAATCAAAGGGAGAAACTCAGGCATCTCGACCAAAGCATTAACAAACTAGAAAGGTTTCCGAGGCTTCATAATTTCTGACTTCACTACAATTCTACATCTCTGGTGATCTGAGCATCCCCCGGCTTCGAAAACACAATAAGATTGAGGGAAATACCTCAGCCAAACCTCATTTATTAACGTGCGATCCAATTTTTTACAAATAACACCAGCATCCCTCTTGTTGCACCACGTGAAACGTGGACCCTGATAAGACATATCCAACAAAGAACAATGCTTTACCACCTCCTGAAAATCTTGCATACCCAAAGAATCATGAAAAGAGTCCACATCAGAGTGCTCCACACCATGAAGAATCTCATTAAAATCTCCCTGAACCATCCACGGAGACTTTTTAATTATAGGAGAATCCTGATGATTAATAAGATCTTTCCAAAGCTCCTTTCGTTCCTCCTCGAGGTTTAAACCATAAACAAAAGAGCAAAAAATCTCATCCTTCATACCCTCCATTAAAATAGAACAAGTAATCATCTGCGTACTTTGAAAACATGGAGTTACTCGAACACCTTGACTCCAAATTACCCACAATCTTCCAAGCCGATGATGATCATAATTAGTTAGAAAAGACCAACCTGGAAACACTTTCTCAATAATGCCTTTAGCCTTACCTTCCTTAACCCGCGTCTCAATCAAACAACCAAACTGAAAACCACACTTTTTAACCCAGTCTTTAACAACCACATGCTTTGAAAACTTGTTGAAACCTCTAATATTCCAGTAGAAACTCGACATACTTAATTTCTTCGGGGCTGCTTCCTCTTTTCAGATAACTAGGACCAGTATCCTGAGTTTTCTGTCCTTCTTTCCCCTTAAGATATCTATGATTCATCTTTGAGTCTCTAGGCAAAATTTGTCGAGGAATTATCATATCTTCCCTCTCATTCATATCCTCAAGAACTTCTGAGACCTCAGATTTTCCTTCTTCCTCGTTTTCAGTTTCCTCTATTTCTCCCTCTTCCGCAGTCGCCAACACAGAAAATCTAGATTTGGTGAGTATAGATTCACCATAGCCCATTTCCTTGTTTGTGTTAGGCGATCTACATGTTTTCCCCGGTGAAAGAAACCGTTCCTTTTCCATTTCCACTTCCAAGTTATCTTCTTTACTAAACTCCACTCCATTCTTACTTCTTTTACATCTACCCTCAGAAATCTCAGAGTCCTCTTTAACTATATCATTCTTATTTCTTGCACTACTTCCTTCGCCTTTTTCCACTTCAGTAACCTCATTTTGCATATCCACCCTTTTTCCTCTTCTGTTACTGCTTTCCTTTGAAACCTCGATATCATGTGTACTAACCGCCTCCTGATTCACCAAAACAACATCTTCTTGTACCTTCCTACCTTCAACATCCTCGTCACTTACTTTTCCTCCCCCCTCAACATTCTTATCCTTCTGATCCTCCTTATCATTTGGACAAGTTTTAGCAGAGTGTCCCCATTTATCACACTTCACACATTTTGTTGGAAACCATGGATAGATATACTCCACCAAAACATCTTCACCTTGAACATTAAAGTTCATCTTTTTTGGCAGATCCTTTGTTAAGTCAACTTTAACAAATATTTTTGCCACTTCCAAATTTAAACACTGCGCAGTCTCCGGATGCAATCTCGTTGGAATCCCCACTGGACTTGTCAAGAAACTCAACCCCTGCCATGAGAACATTGATAGAGGAACATTTTTAACGTGTACCCACATTGGAATAGATTGCGTTGGAGGTTTCTCTTTCTCTATCACCAGCGACCATTTAGTTACAACCACCGGGACTCCTGCCAAATTCCACATACGCCTTCGTAAAATCCTGTTCCTATCAGCTTGATTCAGAATCCGAAATTTCATCATCGTTGAGTTAACCTCAAAAACCTCTACCTTCTGCGTTTTATCATTCAGAGTCCATATCTTGTTGACTATTGCGTGCACTTTAGCTATATGTAGAGCGTTGTCCAGAAATTTTCCAATGAGGAAATCATCCCACAATGGCTCTACATTCTTAGTAATCTCTTCTGGAACCTTCACCGATCCAATACCATCTTTCATTTCAATCTCAACTTCGTATTTCTTCAGAAACTTTTGACCTTGAACAATTCCAACCCAAGATTCTTTAGATCCCCCTGAAACCTTATCATCCTTCAAAGCCAAACCCTCAGAAACTTGAACAGAAACCGCTTGATCAAAAACCACACTATCAGAAATCACCCGATCAGAAACCTTTGGAGATTGCCCTGTCAGACCATCTTCCATCGAAATCCCTAACCCCAAAGCCTTCGTCAAATTCTGTGTCAAATCTTCCAGATCCTCCCTTACCAATCGATCAGAAACCTGCGTCTCCACCAGGGATGTACCCTCCTTCATCGGAGAAGAAAGTATACCCGGCGGCTCCACCTCACTCATGCCGTTATCGAAGAGAAATCCCCAAATCGCCTGCGGCTCCTCCTCACTCATGCCGTTATCGAAGAGAAATCCCCAAATCGCCTTTGTCGCCTTATTTTTCGCCTTAGTTTAAACGCTGCGAAGATCATAGTAAATGTTTTTCAAATTAAATGCAATTTAAGTCGATGTTTATTTCAGTCACATTTGTTCTTTTGATATTAATAAAAGTGTTTGATTCAAATATAAAACAGGATCGAAAACAAGGCTCCTCCCTCCATGTTTCTATTTGGTAATAAATAAGTAACAAGCCTCCTATATTATCAATCTTAGGATATACTACTGAGGAAGAAAGCTTAGATAGTAGCTTGTTGTGCCAGAATCAGAACCAGGACCAGAGTAAAACCCTTTTTCCTCCATTCTTATATTTCGTCTATGTGTCCAATCGAACTTTAATCTTCGGAGATTTGTCTAGAAGAGAGCTTAGCTCAGTAACATAGCTTCCCAAGTCATCATTTGGGGCAGTAACGTCAGAACCTGAAACACAGCCAGAGCCGGAACCAGAACCAAGACTAGTAGAGTCAGGCCCTTCTTCTCCACTCTTTTCATCCCTTTGCTTTTTAGTCAAAGCTCCATAAAACCGTTTCATTGCGGTTTCAGTTGAGAGATCATGCACACAACCGTGTAATTTCTGAAACTTGTCTCTAGTTTCTTGTTCATCGATCAGCGTTTCTCTTAGCTCAGCTGGGAGAAAAACCAGCGCACTTCATAAAAGGGTCAAAAACAAAATATGCATTAGACTACTACTCGATATGCTTCACCGGATTCCTTCAGAGACACATTACAAAAACACAACAGGGAAAAGTTAATCTATTAATTAATTACCTGGAAACACCTCTAACAATACCGAATGTGTAGCCAGCAAGAACTGATTCCTTATAGCCAACGTTATAACCTTGTTGCGCAGCAGCTTCTTGTCCAGCAGAAATCCCATCACGGTATCCCATCTATGAAAACAAAATTAACAGAAAAGCCAATCAATATATAAAGTTTATGGAAAATGAAAAAAACATTAAATATAATTTACAAAGAATAATACCGTGTGGAATTTTTCACGTCGGTTCTCAGCATCTTTGTTCCTCGAGTAAGCTTCACTTGGTTCTTCATCCGAACTTCCATAAAAGGATCCATCTACATTCTCAAGATTGCCTAAACCAAGAAAGGATAAATCTATTTGCGAACTAAGTCTAACAAATCAAGTAGGGAGCCATTCTCGTCCACAGATAAGAACAAGAATCAAACTAGATCCTGATTCAATCTACACAAAAAAAAACTTGGAAGAAGAAGCACACCTGTTGGATTGTCTACAGCATTCTTTGGATCACCGGTTCCTCCAGGAGCTTGATTGATACTGCTCCCCATACCAAAACCATCCATAATCGATACCCCAAACCCTAAAGATTGTAGGAGATGGATTTTGTCCCTCGGCGACCGAAGTTTACTCTAAGCTATTTCAGCAGATCGAAGTTAACGTCAGTTGAGCTAATGAGACTGCGACGGTAGAAGATGTCTAAGCTTGGGGTTTAAAGCACACGCACGAGACAAGAGATCAAGATATTGGTTCAGTTAAACCCGGCTTACGTCACACTACAGTAGCTTTAACTACTTGAGCCTCTTAACAAGGAAACAGATTCAGAACAAAGACAGTAGTTTATGTACTAATATCCACTGAAACCAAACCGAGGCTTGTAAATCTATCACAATTCACAAGCGAGAATTAAGCATAGAGCTGCAGTTCATCACTCAAACTAATAGGATTCAAATCTATTATTTTAACAGAATTCAACAGACAAATGAAATTCACATATTAAAATCTAAATTCATCGGAGAACTACATGGTTTTGGTAGCTGAGAACGTCATCAAACGAAACAAAAGCTTGAAACTTTTTGAATTTCTAAAAGGCATCTTCAAAGCAAAAAACAAGAGCAAACGTGGCATATTGACAGAATCTCTAACCTTAAAATACATTTTTTCTTTGAGATCATACATCAACACTACTAACCATCAATCCTAAATAAACAGTTAAAGCTAAGCAAAAGCAAGAGCAAAGAAGGGCCAAGACGCCAGCTTTAACATCAATACTACTACGCATCATATCAAATCTTTTTTATACATTCCTCCAACAAAGAATAGACCTTGAGAACAGCAGTAGTCTGAGCTTGAGAGGGTCTGAACTTGAGACGAGAGAGCCTGCAAAAAAAAGACAGAAAGAATAACCTCAAGAGATTAAAATAACAAGCTAACAAATGGGTTTATATAGACGACATGAAGAATCATGAATGAAGATAATTTGCTCACTTGAGGTCACTGCCTTTGCGGAAGAGAACACCTGTTGGTATTGTACCTGCAAACACCAAACAAGATTCAACTCTTAAATACAAACATCACAAAAATCCCAAAACAGAGAAACAGACGAAGCCAATACCGAGAGAGCTGGAGAGGCGTCGATCGAGAGAGAGAGCTGAGAGCTAGACACAGAGCCGGAGAGACAGAGAAGACTCAAGGGTGCGTGGATGGGGAAGAAAGTAGGGGTCGGCTCTTCGGTTATTTTATCTGTTCCGTTTGGTTAATTTGGTCTTAAGTTTGTTCTAACCGAAATAAACGATAATTAGTTTGGTTGAGATCAGTTTCGATTCGGTTTATGTTCTGTTCGGTTTGTATTTTGGTTCGGTTTAATCAAGTTTTTTTAGTTTATTTTTTTTAACATAATTCATGGTTTAAACATAAATGATGGTGACTAAAAAAATAAACCATGTAAACTAAATCTTATATAAAAACTGAAACAACAATATTTAAAACACAAAACTTTTATAAGAACACCTTCGAATCAAAATTTAACTAAAGTAAAAACGCTAATAATATCTATTAAAAATAAACTATGTAAATTAAATTTAATATAAAACCGAAACAAAAACCTTAAAAACTTATATAAAATTTATAAAAATACAATCAAACTAAAATTAACTAAAATAAATTGATTTGTTTAAAACTCAATAACGTTAATAAAGTTAGTAGTGATTTTAGTTTTAAGATTTTGTATATTGTATATTGCTAATATGTTTAATTTAAATAATAATAAAACACACTAATTTTCTCGGTTCGGTTGGTTCTGGTTGGGAAAGTCTTAAACCAAACTATTTGATAATAGACTTTGGTTTTGTTTAGATCGATTATGGTTCGGTTGTTCGGTTTGAATCGGATTGGTTCGATTTTTTTGTCCACCCCTAAAAGAAAGGTCTGACACTGGAAAATTGTAAATAGGTTAAGTTGATGTAGAATTTAAGTCGTGGCCGTTGATTTTTTCTGTGCGTCTGACACTGGATGCTGTGTTCGGCCGCAGACGTAGACGCAGGTACTCGTATCCATGAAATGAACAAGAAACATAGGCGCAGAAGCAAATGCTATACCTGGGTCGAGGAAAAGAAGAGCACTAATATCACCCGTTCTTGGATATTGTTCAACCAGGTTCAATCTACGTTGGGAAAGCAAACATACCATCAAAGAGAGTTGCTACGTGGAGCTTTCCAGTCAATAATACAAAGTGATTCTGGCCCTATCCAATCCAAAGCAATGGAGATCCCAAGTTTGCGTATCTGTGTTGAATAACTGGAGCGAGCTCTCTCAGGAGCCATCTTGATGGAAGCGTCCTAATACATATATCTTTCCATCAAATGACCGGAATCTTCTTAGATTCAATGCCATAAACAGCATGAAAAGTCACAGCTATTTCATATATTACAGGAAACAGATGAATGAATGATAAAGCTTATGCTTAGGAAGAAGCCGGAACGTAGGCAGTCTACTAGCAATAAGTCAGATCATGAGAGTGAAAATGACCGTTTGTCTAGAAGTGAAATCTCTTCTGTGATGAGTAAACTCACAAAACTGAGTCCACTGCAGGGTAAAGAAAGAGCAGATGCATTGGAGTTTTTGTTGGAGAAATGTGCCCGGCTTGTGAAGCAAGAGAAATATGAAGAACATGGTGGTTAGCTTAAACCATTTGGTGAAGACGGTGTTTAGGCTAAGTACACTGCTATTTGTTTCGCAAAGACACTCTTGTCTTCTGACAAACTAAACCAAGGAACCTGATCAAGTTTTTGAGTATGAGAAAAATCCATTTTCTTTACTTGTCAAATATGGAAATTTCCCGTTTTCTTTCAAAAGTTTTTGATTTAGCTTGTGAGCAATCTGTTGTTCTGTGAGATTTTGAGTAAATCCCTAATTGACTAAATAATACTAAGCAGGGATGTAGAAAATGTCTATAGCAACAAACACTAAGACAACAAGTAGAGTACATCAAAACAAATGAAGTAGATCATCATCCTCTGTGAAGCTATAGACCGCTGAGAGAGTAAGCCTGTACAAAAAAATGTGTTGTGTACTCAGTAACAGAGAGAAGATTTCAAGAAGAGAGCGTCTAAAGTTGTGATTATTAATTACCTAAAGACAACCATGATGAAGAGAACGATGTAGAACCCGAGCTTGGTAAACCGGAGCTTCTTTTCAAAGCTAATACCACGGAACACTTCAGTGACATCAATGAGATGTCGTCGCTCTTTGTATCTTTAGTAAGAACCCAATTGAGGAAAGTTTAGTTTCCAAACATGTCAATCAAGAAACAATAATATGGAGAGGTATAGAGAGTACTTACAGCATTGCGTGATAGCATGTTACAGGGAGAGCCACGAGGAAAAAGACCCAATGCCAAGTCAGGAGGAAGAGAATGCAAATTGAGCCTTGGAGGATAAACTCAGGTAGTATCAATCGGTTGATACGAGATGATGTTTCAAAAGGGTTCAAGTAATCAGCTTCTAAATCCGTTAAACATATAACCTACACACAAAAACATTCCATCACTTCTTCTCCCTATAAACTCGCAAATTCATCAACTTTACACTAAGGAAGAATCATCTTAGCTGCCAAAACTAGCCTTGAAGACAAACTAAAATCACAATAAGTGAACAATTCCGACATTAAAGATTTGAACAGTGAAAACCCTTAGGACAGATCTCGATTCAAGAATCTCAATTAAGGGAAGAGAAAAGTAGGGTTGACCTGATAGAAGACGGAAGCGACGAGGGCTAAGCTGACGAAGAAGGAGAGAATCCACAAGAACAAGTCCCAAGCCATTGTTTCTTCAAAGAAGCGAAACCAACTCTACTTCTCAAAATATGCGCCTCTCGCTTGCTTATACTACTTGCCCTTCACTCTCTTTTTTTTTCTTTTAGAAGAATTACTTTTACAGATTGTACTTTACTTTATGTCTGAGTGAGTTCTACTCGAAACTAGATTCCTTTCTTTCTCTTGTCGGAATATTTACTCTCTCTTTTTTTTTTGGCGTCAATTGCGTTTTTACGCTTTGTAGAAGATTTACAAATGTTAATTAGTTTGGTAAAGTTAAGGTTTATTTTTATTTTTTTTGTAAACAAAGTAAAGTTAGAGTTTCTTTCTTTCTTTTTATTTTCTCAGAAAGATTACAGTTTCTTTATGTTCTGTGAAATGTAAAATCCTCACATTATCTGAATCTCTCAGGCAAAACACTGTCTTGACTGATCAAAAAGTGATACTTTCAAATAAGAATTTTACGAAAGAGATTCACACTGTAGCAGAAATTTAACTTTGGAGAACAAACATGTGATCTAAAGATTCAGCGAACTATCTTGTCCATCACAAACCACATCATCTTACTTTGCTTGCAAAACCACCTCCAAAAGCTTTACTTTCTTCTTGGCTTCTTCTTGGATGATGATGAAGAAGATCTCTGGCTTTCAAGTTTTCTCTTGGCAGCTTCAAATTCTTCTTCGTTTGGCTCTGAGTCATCATTTCCACCATACCTTGAGATAAGTGACGAGAACATTGTATCGAACTTCTCTTTCCTCGAATCTCTTCGCTGTGAAATCATAGCGTAAAGATCTGTCTCTCCACCCTTCTTTGCCCTACAAGTATTGAAAGATTCAAAACATGTTACAGAACATGTTTGGAGGAAATAATTTGGAAAAAGAAGTAAGACAGAAGAAAGCATACTTTCGTCTGGTCTTTGGGGGACTCGTGGGGGGTTTTATTTCCGAAACTTCCTTTGCCCATTTCTTGTAAGCTTTTGTTGCCTTCACTTCTCCTACATAAGTGAAACAATGATTTCAAAGCCCATATAAAAAATTACACGACTTGGCATGCGTTTATTACAGAGTTACTGCAAAAGAGATAAGCCTACCCGCTGCAATGGCCTCATCAATAATATCTTTGAAACGGTGTGAGTCAAGCTTGGGGTTTGAGCAAAGCATTGAGCAGAAAAGCCTGGAATAGATGCAATGCCGATAATGTTCATATAAACTTCAACTTCACAAAAACTAAAAATAATGAATGAATGAAAATAATAAATTACCTGCTCATTTTACCCTTAAACTTGGTGTAGAGCTCAATCAAGTCTTTCTTCTCAGACTCAGAACCCCTGTAGTTGGCCTCAAACTCTTCAATATCTTCCTCGGTGACCTATTTACACAAGAAGTCAGTAATTGAAGGAAACAAAACAAAAAGTCGTGTGGAAAGTCCAAACAGGATCCAAAATGGTGCTTGTTACCTTCTTGTACATAGCCTTGAAGAAGTCCCTCAAGTTGTCAACCACATCTCCAGAAAGATCCTAAGGAGATAGTGGGAAAACAAGTTTGTAAAAAAAAACATCTTGCAATTTTTTTTTACCGAGTCTGAAAGCCATTTCTTTCACCAATTCATTTTGAACAGAAACGGGGAAATAGTAAAAGAGACTTGTACATATGTGTAGTGTGTATTAGAGTGACTCTCAGGGAAAACAATTTACAAATCACTAACATTCTGAAACTCAAATCAGGAAGAATCAAAGACTTACAGCATCATCAACGGAGCCAGTTTGATCATAGACTGCTCTCTTCTCTTCGTCACCGAGAATCGATATCACCTTTTGCAGCTGCTGAAACTTCTCTTTAGCTTCCTGTTTAAAACCAAACAAAGAATTCAAACTTTCTTGTAAATACAAAGAAAAAAAAAGCCAAACGAAAGAAAAGTGTATAAATAAATAACCTCATCGTCCTTGTTTTTATCAGGATGAAGCCTCAAAGCCAACTTATGGTATGCCTTCCTTATCTCCTGCTGTGTTGCTGTCGCTCCCACACCAAGAACCTTTAACACAAGACGACTTAATCTTCTTAATCATACACTTAATTACCAATAAAACAAGGGGGTGATAAAATGGATTCTCAGAATATATACACTGGATCATAAACAAGTAAAATCTAAACAACTTAACGATGAAATTAAGGCACAGAAATCTAAACAACTCATAAAAACCCTAATCGCGGAAGAGAAATCAGAAAGAGAGACAATTCGCAGAAGATTGATTAAAAAGAGGGGAGAGATACCTCGTATAGGTTTTTCTCCATCTTCAACCTTATCGATTTACTCTTACGGCGAACACAGCAGCACACATCAGAGTAAGGGAAGCGATCTCGACTTAAAAAATGCTCTTGTGGCGCCAATAATTTCTGACCTTGCCGCCTATTTTTTTGATGATGATATGTTCTTTCTGATCTTCTCTTGACCTAATCTGATAAAGTGAAAGTAAAGGGGCTACCAACACATCATTTATAGATTTAAAGGGGCTACTTCGTAATTTTAGTAAACCGAATTGAACCGCAATTGTTTTGCTTGGATTTTTTGTTAATTCGTTTGAATTCAACACTTGTGCCAACCGGTATAACCGGCAACGATGATTTCGTGATTTATAAATGGAATACGTGGTCCACGCCACAGAGGAACATAACCTAGAGTAACCGGGTCCCGCATCGGCCGTTAATCCTCCCTTTTTCGCTTTTCTCATTTCCTTACGTATCAAATGCCTTCTCTGTCTTCTTCGCTCTCCGATCTGAGTTTCTTGTCCGTTTATGGTAGATTCGGCTGATTTACGTGCGCAATACGAATCCTAGACTCTTGGCTTTGATCTGTTTGAGAGAGAGAGAGGAGCCGCCTTTCGAATTCGTGATCTGTAATAATCTACGTATCAAATGTCTAATTTGCAAGGAGATTACAATCAAAAGATCGATTATGTATTCAAAGTGGTGTTGATCGGTGACTCAGCGGTTGGGAAAACTCAGCTGCTGGCTCGGTTCGCTAGGAACGAGTTCAGCGTCGACTCTAAAGCCACCATTGGTGTCGAGTTCCAGACTAAAACGCTTGTTATCGATAATAAAACCGTCAAAGCTCAGATTTGGGATACCGCTGGTCAAGAAAGGTTTGCACCTTTCTTTTCTTTTGGTTCATTATGATATCTCAAACCATGCATTATTGTGATCATCTTCTGATCACATTTGTTTTTGAATGTTAAGCAACATATATGTGCATCATGCATGATCTAGTCTAACTATATACATATGTGATGAATCAGTATTCAGTTGAGAAAATACTAGTATTACCACTGAATAAAGTGGCAACAATATTTAAAGATGCATGCATGGGGGTTTATTGCAAGATACCCAAGATCTATTGGCATTGCTTGCCCTGAGCTCAGACTGAGCTAAGCTAAAGCTTACCAAACTCCAGTTTCAAATGCCAAAATCTTATTTATATATAAGAGCATCATTATCCAGAGTTTCTTAGGACGAGGTTCTTAGAGAAATATAAGAAATTGTTTCTTATATTTCCCTAAAAACGCCATTCTAAAAATCATGGACAGTGATGTTCTAAGAGTTTTATGGCATCAATTTTTTATAGTGTATTGGTTTACTAACAAATTTTATAGTTAACTATCATAAGACTAGATCTGTCTATTGGTTTGCATGAACTTTAGTGAACAAGATAGCTCCACATTGCTCTTGTTACTCTATGCCACTTATGTCACATAAGTAATGTGGATCAATTCTCTGCTTCTTAGTCATAAATTTCCCATTGACTGATACAGTTTTTTTTTTTATTATTATCAAAACTGATATAGTTTAAATATGGCAACATGACTATGTGATGTTTGATAATCACCATTTTTATGCTGTATTTTTTCACAAACAATCGCTGGTCGTAATTAGTTATATGTATTCTTCATAATTTTGCTGTTCAACTATTTTTTTTCAGATACCGAGCGGTGACAAGCGCATACTACCGTGGAGCTGTTGGGGCAATGCTGGTCTATGACATGACCAAACGTCAATCATTCGATCACATGGCTAAATGGCTGGAAGAATTAAGAGGACATGCAGACAAAAACATAGTGATCATGCTGATCGGAAACAAATGTGATCTTGGAAGCCTTAGAGCAGTACCAACAGAAGACGCCCAAGAGTTTGCACAAAGAGAGAACTTGTTCTTCATGGAAACCTCTGCTCTCGAGGCTACCAATGTCGAAACCGCGTTTTTGACCATCTTGACAGAAATTTACCGTATAATAAGCAAGAAATCACTAACGGCTGATGATGATGATGCCGATGGGAATTCAAGTCTCTTAAAGGGGACTAGGATTATCATTCCGAGTGAGCAGGAGACTGGGAAAAGAGGTGGATGTTGCGGCAAATCGTAACTCTGAAAGCAAAAGACAATACATGATTGTATTTTTTTACTGTTTTGGTTCTTGTTGTTTCTTGTTTTGTTCAGCCTTAACTATTCGTTCATTAAACGAAGCAATAAGCCGAAGTTTAGTATAGAAAGAGTATGAGGCTGAAACCGAGAACCCCCATTTTTTGCATACCACGCAACATTTTCAGATTGTGATTGTTTATCTTCTGGAGAAACTGAGAGTAGTAGGTGAATGAATTTTGTTGTTTTGTTTCACGTATATATGTCCACATATATTTTCTGCCCAAAGTTTATTTATTGACAACAAGAAAAAACCTCCGTTTTAGTGGCGCACACGTTTTTCATTCGTTGTGTGGTTATTAGTGCGTTCACAATGACAATTAACAAACTGATGTGTATTAATAATGGTGTAAAGGTAAACTAAGCACAATCAATTTTAGACATCATAATTTATTTTCTTTATTTTTTAACATTGAATATTTATCCATTACAAACAATGAGAAATATTACATAGACGATATTACAGCCGACAATTCTATCTGTATGTTTTTCTGCATAATTCGACATTAACCGTTTTCAGAAATAGAAACCTTGTTAATATAGAAATTGCATAGCCTGAGATTTGAATTCCAAATCTAGTGTAGAAGTCTTTTAAACCTTAACCACTAGATTACGATGTTTTCACCATAATTGATTTTATACGACATTTTAAATTACTTAATGAAAAACCATGGAAGATGTTTCTCAAATCAACTGTGATCAATCTGAATACGCGGCTTAAAGGATTACCTTTTTTAACATCTTAATGTTCTTCTTAACAATATGTTTGTTTTATTTTGTGTTTCACGCGGCTTAAAGTTATACCAATTGGTGTATACTCTACTGAAAGCGGATTATACAACACAGAAATTTTATATTTTGTAGTTTAATCATATAAGAAATCCTTCATTTAGTTGAACATTATCAAAAATAATAAAAGAAACATAATCATATCATTTATTTTGCTACCTGTACTTAAAAAAAAAAAGAGACAACCAGTAAACAGAGGCCCAGCATATTCCAAGCACTAGTATCATTGGGCTTCACAATAATAATATTTATTTTCAAAATATTAATCTATTTGGATGGATAAGTCATACTCGCCAAAGAAAGACCGAACCCACATAACAGGGACCCACTTAACGACAGCGTGGCACCACATGATGTGATTAGTCATGAAGCCCACCGTTTCTCTCGCTCTCTTTTCCGGTTTTCCTATTCCCATCGTCTTCCTCTGCGGTTTCGTCACGCTTCTCTGACCTATCTTATTTCTCTCCCATCCATCTCTCACAACATTAATAACGTTTCCTCTCAATTCCTCAATCTCAAATCCCAAGTCAAAATCAAATCTCCAATACTTTCTTCAATCCAACAAACAAAATAAAAAATATCTGCTTCCCTCTTTCTCACCAGATCCAGAATCCAAATCCACATTCAATCCAACAATGGTATCCGTCAAATTGGGAATGCTCCACTACGTTATCGACCACGTCTACGGAGCCTTCATGCACCGCACGAGGATAACTCCACCGTTCTTCTCCCGAGGATGGGGCGGTCCAAAGCTCGAGCTCCTCGAGCGGATGGCTAAACAGCTCTTCCCTATGTACGTGGAAGGTCATAACTGGCCTCCGCCGTTGGTTCGTCCCGTGTGGAAGACCGTGTGGGAGACGAAGACTGCTTGTCTTAGAGAAGGTGTCTTTCAGACTCCTTGTGATGACGAGCTTACCGCTGCTTTGCCTCCTGAGTCTCGTACAGCGAGAGTGGCTTGGCTTGTTCCTAAAAACGTTCCTCCTCAGAAGATGTCTTGCGTTGTTCATCTTGCAGGTAAACTGGCAAAACCTAATTGTTATGCTCCATGGTGGAATGGATTTGTCTAATTGTTGATGTGATCTTGATTTGGTGTTGTGCACACAAGTTGTGGCTTCTTAGTTGCTTGTGATTGGGATAGTTAGGCGTCTTATATGAGATTATTGATTAGACGAATGCCTAGACCGATTTTTGAGTGGTTAAAGTAGAAAATTCATTTTGTTCATGTCTAATTTGCCGATTAGGCGGTAGTTAGGCGATTTATAGAGGATTATTGATTAGACGGATGCGCCAAGACCGATTTTTGAGTGGTTAGACTAGAAAAATCATTTTGTTTATGTCTAATTTGCCGATTAGGCGGTGATTAGGCAGGCGGTAGTTAGGCGATTTATAGAGGATTATTGATTAGACGGATGCGTAGATGCCAAGACCAATTTTTGAGTGCTTATACTAGAAAAATCATTTTATTTAGGTCTGATTTGCGGACTAGGCGGTCGTCTAGGCTAGACCGATTTTTGAGTGCCTAGACTAAGAAAAATCATTTTGTTTAGGTCTGATTTGCATACTAGGCGGTCGTCTAGGCTAGAGCGATTTTTGAGTGCCTAGTCTAAGAAAAATCATTTTGTTTAGGTCTGATTTGCATACTAGCAGTCATGCCTAAATCGATTTTTAGAACACTGGAAGGTGTCTTGAGCAAAGCTGTTGAAACATTAGTCTTAGACCCCCAAAATTTTGAAAAAACTGATATGAATATAAGATCTAAAAAAAATATTTTAGGCACCCCAAATTGGTAAGAAATTTTTTTTTTAATTGAAATATTTGAAAATCGCCTATGGCCTCCTAAATCTCAGTACCAGCCCTGAACACTGGATATTTGAAAGTTGCTCTTAAATTTGTGAAGATGATATATTTTTGATTATGGTTTGCATTGTTGTAGGCACAGGAGATCATACATATGACAGGAGATTGCGTTTGGGTGGACCTTTGGTGAAGCAAAACATTGCAACTATGGTGCTTGAAAGGTAATGAATGAGACTCTCTTTCTCTACTCGTGATGAAAGCGTTTTGCTTTGGCCGCTTTTGAAGCTTTTGCCATGTTTTTGATCAAACATAGATAATGAATACCACTGCAGCCCTTTATATGGCCGAAGGCGTCCGTTTCTACAACGTGGAGCGAGGCTGCTCTGTGTTAGTGATCTGCTTTTACTTGGGAGGGCAACGATTGATGAGTCCCGCAGTCTTCTTCACTGGCTAGACACTGAGGAAGGCTTTGGAAAAATGGGTGTTTGTGGGCTTAGTATGGGTAAGTTCTTTAACAACTTTTGAGCTATTGTATTATTGTGTGCTATGGATGTTTTCCAGGACTAGCCACCATTTTTGCTATAAGCATTAGCATAGTTTTTCCTCAATAAGCATCTCAAACTCTCATGTGCACCCTTACATTTCAAGTATTAGGATTAGACTGTTATTTGTTTTGTGTGTGTATGAAAGAGAACCATAGTTACAAACTGCATCAATCTAGGTATCTATGTGATTGCATTATTTTAATCTGAAAAGTCTTGTGAATATATGAAGGAGGAGTACATGCTTCGATGGTTGGATCGCTTCATCCAACACCAGTTGCTACACTTCCCTTCCTGTCTCCACATTCTGCTGTTGTTGCATTCTGTGAAGGAATACTAAAGTATGGAACCGCTTGGGAGGCACTAAGGGAAGAACTTGAGGCGCAGAAGATAACAATGACTCTTGAAGAAGTCAGAGAGAGGATGAGAACTGTTCTCTCCCTCACAGATGTCACTCGCTTCCCTATCCCCAAAAACCCTGATGCTGTCATCTTTGTTGCTGCAACTGTAAGTAGAATAATCATTCCGTAACTCACGACACATTTCTGCTGAATCTGATCTTGTATGATTTATATAGGATGATGGATACATACCAAAGCACTCTGTGTTGGAGCTTCAAAAGGCGTGGCCTGGTTCAGAAGTGAGATGGGTTAGAGGTGGACACGTCTCCTCCTTTATTCTGCACAATGATGCGTTTCGCAGGGCAATCGTGGACGGTCTCGACAGAGTAGACTGGAAGGAATCATGGTGACCCAACATAACACAAAGGGAAGGGGCCTTCATGTATATGTCGTAATCTCCTCTTGTTGTTGTATCATTTGTTTTTCTTTTAACATTCTTTCGCTTTTAGAAAGTGGTGAGGATAGTATCCACTTTTCTGGCCGTTGTATTATTTCTGTCTCGACACACAGCAACTGTTTCAGAAAACTTCACACATTACATTCCACTATTAACTCATACATACCTCTCTCTCTGTAATTTGAAAAGGTTTTTAGGGCTCTTTTTCCTTGCTTTTACTGTTATCTGGATAGTCTTCTGAATATAGTATTTTTTTCTGAATATAGTATTTTTGTTTTTGATAAACCCTATCGGTTGATCCGGTCGGTCTTAGGAGGAATGTACTTAATACTACAGAGTAGACTGGATACCACATCGTCTCATCCGAGTTAGGAATACCTTCCGACTAATATCAAAGGGTGAACCAATCATCTGTTACGATCCAACATGTAAACCACTTGGGCTAAAGTCAAAGCGCAAACTACCACCACTTGGTTCTTGTGAATATAGTTAGGAGAGGTACATGCTTCGATGGATGGATCGCTTCATCTGACACCAGTTGCAACACTTCCATTCCTATATCATAAACATTGGTTTTAACACGTTTTTTCTTTCTTTGAGAAAAGTGTCATGACTTGGGGGTAAAGATACATTATACTGATTAGTCGTTTGTTGTAACTATCTTTTTAACTTATAACAATTATTAACCTTCACTATTATACTGCGTGTATACGAAATGATTCCGAACCGCCGAACCGGAGAGAAATGTAATAGACGACTAAGTCTGCTGTTTTATTTAAGTTCATGTTTTGCAAAATAGCAGGAGAATAAGTGGTCTTCCTTGTGTTTAGGAACCAAACAAAACTCGTTTTAATAACTTTTAAAACCATCCAAAAACTCTGTTATAATAGTAGCTTCACTGGCGTCAAAACAACCACTCAAATCACAATGAAACTCCTCCTTCTCTGTCTCTCTATATTCTTCATCTCTCTCCCATCATCTTACAGTTCCACCTCAAAAGACAAAAACACCCTCCTTCAAATCAAGAAACATTTTAACAACCCTAAACGCCTCTCCTCCTGGGATCCTAAAACCGACTGTTGTACAAACTGGACACGCATCATCTGCACTAACGGCCGCGTCACATCACTCTCTATGTCCCTAGTCAAAATTGTTGGTCAGATCCCCGACCAGATTGGCGACCTCCTTGAACTCCGTTCACTCGATATGAGTTACATGAATCTAACCGGAAACATACCACGCACCATCGCTAAACTTAAGTACCTAGACTTCTTCTTCGTAAAGTATAACAAACTCTCGGGTCCAATTCCTGATGTAATCAGTGAGCTCAAAAGATTAACGTTCATGGACCTCTCTTATAACAAGTTTACCGGTCCTATTCCCGGTTGGCTTTCTCACTTGCCGAAGCTTCGGACCATTCAGATCAACAACAATTCGCTAACCGGTTCTATACCGAAATCTTTCGGTTCCTTTGTAGGCAACGCACCTAGTCTCTTCTTGCAAAACAATCAGCTCTCAGGTATACCCAAAATATATATACATTTTTTTTTTGTAAGAAAAATTTAAAACACGCAGAAGCCATGCAAATCTTCCATGTCGTATTCCTAATTATAAATGTTGAATTGCTCATTATAAAAATACACTAATTTGAGATTTCTTAAAACGCTAATTACTTTTCAAAGATCACACTATTAATTATTTACAGCACCAAAGATGCACTATATGTAAAAATGTTTTTGACTGAACATTCATTCGAAAAACAAATCATTGTTATTAATCATTTAATAAATAAAATTGAAACATAAACTGCAAATTTAAAATATAAATAACAGAAATTTATTGAAAATTAAATCAAATTTCAATTAAAAATATATTCCTCTTTTTTTTTTAAAAAATGTATATTTTAGTATTTTTTTTACATTTGAAGGAAAAGTATTAAATATACTTCCAATAACTTTAAGTCGAAATTTCAATAAACATAATTATTGTTAAGTTTAAATTTACCAATAGATAATGTATTGAAAATTTAGAAAATATATTTTCAAAGCAAATATTTTTTAAAAATATATGAATATTTTCAAAATACAGGGAATATATATATATACAGTTTTTACTTTGGGTAGATCATAAAACATGTTAATCTTTTAAAGGAGGAGATAGTATTCAATAACATTGCTATGTCAGGGAAAATACCGGAGTCGTTGTCAAAGATGAACTTTCAAGGAGTAGATTTGTCGGGAAACGGTTTCACAGGAGATGGGTCGATGTTTTTGGGAGAGAACAAAAGAACAGTACAATTGGATCTGTCCAAAAACATGTTTAAGTTCGAACTCACCAAGGTTAGGTTCGCTAGGAGCTTAGTTTTTTTGGATCTGAGCCATAACCAAATCTCCGGAAAGCTTCCTTACGAGTTAACCAAGCTACGTCTCGAGCATTTCAACGTTAGTTATAATTATCTCTGTGGAAAAATCCCACGTGGTGGTAAACTTCAGACCTTTAAATCATATGAGTTCGGTCACAACCGCTGTCTTTGTGGATCTCCACTTATGAGGGCTTGTGATTTTGTTTAACTAATGGCGTGACAACAAATAATTACGTCTTATTTGTATGTTGATGATGTGTTAATCATCACTGCTTATCAAAATGAATTGTACCTTTGTTCTTTGTGGGAGGTCGCCGAGTGGACGTAGAACCGATTCGGTAATGTAGAACAGTAGAAGACGGGACGAACGCAAACCACCAGTTGAAAACTGCGAACTCTGTGTGTAAACCGGTAAAACCTCCGGTTTGAATCCACTTATAATCATCATATGTCTTATCTATCAGCTTATTTAATTTTAATGTAAATTAGTTATCAGTTACAAAGTTTTCATAAATTTGATACAAATAGTTGCTGAGTATTTAGTAATAACTAATGTTAGTTGAATTATATATGCATTTATCTTATTCAACTTTTTCAACACATGATATATGGTCTTCAACAATCTTCTTATTTCTCTATCACTTCTTCCTTTTTAGCACATTTTATCATGCATGCTAATGTGTATAAAATTTCGTTCATTATAGTATGTAGTTTATAACCTATAAAAAGGAAGTAATTATTATTCTTTCTATAATGCCAACAATTAGAAAGAGAAATCGAAATCTATACTATTAAAGCTGAAGTACAAAAATTTATGTGTTTGGAAACATGAATAGGAAATATTTAAAATTATGATGATTGGAAACAAGGATAGCCTACAAATCTAATGGGCTTATTTATTAAACTAAAGATTATTATGGCCCAATGTACTATTATTATTGTTTTTGGGTTTTCTATCATTGATATTACTTTACTTTTGAAAATTATTTATACATATATGTATTCATGTTTTAAATGTATCTAGAACAAATCAAGAATAATATAAATTTTATTTATATAATTTATATTGACTATTGTTATAAGTTTTTAAACAGTGATATACTAGCCTTCCAATTCTTCATTAAAAAATTAACTTAAAATTTGACTAAATTATTTAGTGTATATAACTTTGCACCAAATTTAACCAAAAAAAACTTTATAAACTATTACTAAAATGTTTACGGATCACAACATTTTACAGTGCCCATGTTATACAATACAGTGATAAAATACAATGTTTAAACTGTAGACTATTACTTAGTAAAATTGGAACCATTAAATTGTAATTTTTAAATGTTATATATATCATAAAAAAAAGACCCACCCAGTAGGGCGGGTTATGATCTAGTTATATATTAAACGAGAAGTTACTTATGTGACTTTTGTTTACGTGTCAATCATTTTTGAACTCTTAAAAAATTATTCTAATTTCTAATTGAGATTTTAATTTTATTTATTTTAACTAGATCTACAAAAATTGAAATAATTAATATAAGTTGCCACATAATCTAAATGATATTACAAATAATGATTTACGGTGTCTAATTGTTGGCATGAAAGAAAGAGTAAATAACTTTTATAGTTATAAACTACATAATATAATGAACGAAATTTTTATATACATTAGTAATGTATGTTAAAATGTGATAAAAAAGTGATAAAGAGAGAAATAAGAAGATGTTGATATATAATATGTATTGAAAAAGTTAATAAGATAAATGCATATATAATTCCACTAATATTTGATATTACTAACTCATCACCTATTTGCATCGAATTTATGAAAATTTTGTAACTGAGAATTAAATTACATTAAACTTAAATAAGGTGCTAGATAAGACATGTGATGATTATAAAGTATTTACAGTTAAAATTTATCTTTTTATGTTTAAAATCATTATTAGAAATCTATAGCATTATATATAAGATATATATTTTCATAGACTATTTATATCCGTAAATTTGTGGACAATGACCTAATAACTAATTGATTAATTGACAGCTTAGGACTATACTCAAGATTTTAATCACATTAGAAGATTCATTGATCAATTTTTTTGTTGAATTATTTTTGCTGTCGAGTTTTGAACCCAGATTTCACAAATGAAATTAACCGGTGTGCTACAACAGATCTGTTCACTTTAAAATTAATAGAGGAACGATGCACTACACCCCCAAGTTGTTCACATTGTTTAATAACAGTATATAAAAAAATTCTTCACATTCAAAGTAATAAATTTATTGACTTTTGAAGTACAATGTTCTTTCTGGCTAATATACATGAGATATGTAATACTTTTCATATCATGCTCAATAAAATGAAAATATGAACATTGCACACATGCACTTCGTACTAAAACAAGATACTGGATTGATGAAACATTGAACCGAACCGGGGAACTTTAACCGTACCCAGATTCCGAACCGACGATATGTCTTAGACGACCAAGTCTTTGCTCATTTAATTAACTTCATGTTTTTACAAACAAGAGGAGTAGAAATGGTCTTCCTTGTGTTTAGGAAACAAACAAAAATCGTTTTAATGCTTTTGAAACCAGCAAAAACTCTGTTAAAATAGTAGCTTCACTGCATCAAAACAACCACTCAAATCACAATGAAACTCCTACTTCTCTGTCTCTCTACATTCTTCATCTCTCTCCCATCCTCTTACAGCTGCAACTCAAAAGACAAAAACACCCTCCTTCAAATCAAGAAACATTTTAACAACCCTAAACTCCTCTCCTCGTGGCATCCTCAAACCGACTGTTGTACTAGCTGGGACGGCATTGAGTGCACTAACGGCCGGGTCACGTTACTCTCTATCGCCTATGAGTACAAGCTTGTTGGTCAGATCCCTGACCAAATCGGCGACC